TTCAGTAGAGAAGACATCATTGTGGAATGTAATTGAAACAATTAAGCTTTCTTTAAAAGAATTTACCAACAAAATGAAAATAATTGAGAAACTCTGAAAAGTCCAAGGAAAGATTATAGGATAAATTCCTCCCAGTCACATCCCATAAAAGTCCTTCTGCTGGCACACAGATCTGCAGGCATTTTCCCTGCAGCCTGCACCGAAGCCCTGGGGAATGTTGCACAACAACATGGTTTTAATTGCTACTTAACAGCCCATTCTGCCATAATTTTCTTAACTTTGCTCTTAGGTTTTGAATAATTGGGTGGAAAACAAAGATTTAAATGAAAAGAAACGTCTAGAAGAGTAATAGGTAATTACCTGAAACTAAACCACCAAACAACATATAGCATAGATATTTGAACTCTGAGGTTGTTAAAACAAAATTTATTACACTCTGTTCTTCTCAATGGTATAAAAATACAATAAGAATGCTTACTTTTTAACAGAATATTTAAGTTATTTTGAGAATATCATATGTCTACTCAATGTTTTTGAATCATATCCACCTCTCTTCCTCCCTATAATCCATCAGCCCCTCCCAACTGTCTTTTTTAGCCCCCTGGTTCTAGTTCATGCTGCTCATATACTGGTTAACGTGGGGCCCTCCACTGGAGCATGGTCTATCACTGGGAGCACACCCTTAAAGAATACTTACTCTTGAACCCCCAGAATCCATCAGCTCCTGGCCATTCCTCGGTTAGGAGCTAGGCTGGTGAGCCTCTGACCATGTCATGCTGGAACACTGAGTGGCTTGATCTGAGTCAACTACAGTTGCCATGAGGTCATGAGTGAAGCAACCCTTTCATGTCCAGAAGACACTGTTTCACTCTCGTCCTCCCCAACTTCTGTCTCTTACAGTCTTTCTGTCCCCTCTTTCAAGATAGTGCCTACCTTTGGAGGCAGACCTTGTGATGTAGATTTCCCATTTGTGGCTGCCATCCACGAACATCCATTGACATCATTCTCATTTAGTAATCAGAACAATTCACCCAAATTTCTGTTGTATCTACATATTGAGAATAAGGAAAACAGCATCCGGAGGGGTGGAAGGTCTTGGCAATCACACGTGGAGTAAGGATTTGATCCCAGTGCTGTCTGAAAGGAATGCTGTTTTCCTAATCACTATATATGTATATCCCAAGTTAGCTTTTGAATGTTTGTTGATACCAATAGAAGGTTGTCATTAAAATGGAAACAAATTACAAACAATAATTCACTTCTAGTGTGTTTTAATAGCTTCTTAATTGTTGTGAGAAGACACCATGACCAAGACAACTTATAGAAGAGCTTATTTGGAGCTTACAGTTTCAGAGAGTTAGAGTCCATGGCAGCAGGCAGGCAGGCATGGCACTGGAGTAGCTGAGAGTTCACATCTTGATCCATAAGCATGAGGCAAAGAGAGCTAACTGGGAATGAGATGGGTTTTCTGAAAGTTCAAAGCCCCCCACCCCACCCCACCCCCGTCATGATGTGCCTCCTCTAACAAGACCACACCTCCTAATTCTCTCATGAACTGGGAACCATTAATATGAGCCAATGGAGGCTATTATCCTTGAAATCACTACTTGGTATAAGCAGATTAACTTGTCTACTAAAACCCCAGAATAGCCAAGGAAATCATCAGTAAATAAAATCCCTTGGTCTTGTCTAAAATGTTTAAAATTCAAATATGTTGGAGGTTTTCCTCAGCTTCATTAAAAATGGGGTAGGGAGCTGTGCTATTTGCAGCCACTGCGGTAAAGTCTGGTTTCTGAGACTGAGTGGAAATTGATGGCGCTAAAAGTATTCTGTAATTAAGTGAAAACTGTGCTCTGCAGCTCAATTAGTCTGCTGTGACTTAGTTTAAGTGGAAACAGTAAATCCTGCTGAATCTCATTAAGGGAGAGCCCGGCAGCCCCACCTCACTGAAGTTCTGGTTCCTATGGAGGTGGAGTTTACACGTGTACTCGTCTAGTGTGGAAGGCAGGGATGGTGGCCCAGCCGTCCGTGATATGGAAGCCCTCTGTCTTCCCTTCAGATTAGACAGTACTTCAGATCCCAGGGACTCTCCAGAGGGATGTGTGGCTGACTTCCTAAGGATGTGAAGACACTGGCCTCTCTCTCAAATGCTGGGCAGGGTGATGGGAGGCACCGCTTGGTGACCCTTCTCCACTGCAGACTGACTGAACCTGCATCTTTGAAGAGCTGTCAGAAAACAGTCCCAGTGTTTGATCGTCATAAGGCTTAAACGGACTTAAAAGAAAGGGAAAGGGTATTTTTGTTGTTTTAATTTATTGAACAGTTATAAAAGCAAAACTTAACACAGAAAATTCGGGAAATACAAAGTTTGAAGCAAGAACCCCTCCCCTCCATTGGCCTCTCTGCCCTTGATGCTATGGTACTTCCTCATGTTAGCAGGGCTGCTGTGGTTTGAGATTCTTGATGGTGTCTACTAGGAAAGCACATTAAAAAGAACATTTTCTCTTCATCCCCCACCTTAGCCTGCATACCTCAAGGAGGTTCTCTTTGCTTCCAACATCTCAGACATATTGAATGAGGGAAGGCCTCTGCCAGGCGGAACTCAAGAATATTCCAGAACTGACAGAGAAGACATAAAGAACTCCTGCTTATCCAGTAGCTTGGAGTAATCACATTTGCTGACCCTTATTCCCCCAAATGTTGGGTCCAAAATAAATAGGGTCGTGATGGCCATTCAGGCAACTTTAAGGAAGTGCTCTCGTGCCTGGTTGGTGCTGCCTAGGCTGCCAGCAGGGTGAAAGGGATTACCCTTAACCAGGCTGTCACTAGACTCGAGGTCCTGGAGCTGTTTGAGATGGGCAGGTGAGGAGCCTGAACCTCAGCTCCAGACTAAAGGACCACAGAACACTTTCAGCTGCTTCTTCTGCTTTGTCTAAGAAGAACAAATGATTCCCAAGCACCTGGAAAGTAACGTAGCTGGGAAACCAAGTCTGGATGCCCAATACAGTGCTGGGCACAAGGGTCTTCCCATATCTAACAGCCACGGGGCCCAGAGTGATCCCCAGAAGTCACACTGTTTCCCGGCCAATGGGAATCAGTGTTCCAGCCAGGGCACCCCTCCTCCCTTACTCATGATTCTGAGGTGAAATCGCTGTGCTGGGAAACTGCCGGAAGGTGTCCGCCAGTATCCTACAAGTCAGAATCCGCAGCCCCTCCATCTTTCTCTATCCCTGAGAAGTACCACCCTTGCTTAAATGACTCCTAAGTCTCTTGAGAGTCTCACCCCTGTCTCCTTGATCTGGCCACCTAAAGTACTCTCTTCACACTTAATGACTCTGAAGACAGCCAGGAGAAGCTCTTGCAGAGAGCTCTGCCTTAGGCACTCACGCCGCCTTTCATGAAGTAAGAGGGTAGATGACTGGGCTTCCCCGACAGGACGTGCCTCAGAAAAGATGAAAGTACACAGCCGAGCACGAGGCCCCCTCCCCCGCCCCCTTCTTTAGCACCAGGAGGCAAAACTTGACACAAGCAGATGGTCCTATGTAGCTCCAAATGACACTGTAAGGATAAGCGACGCACACTTACTGAAAGTAAAACTAAGTATTTATTGTAGAAATTACTCACAAGATACCAAACAAGTAACCCAGATGAGCCAAGTAGTTTTCCTGCTGCCGAACGGGAAGCCGAACTCCGGGAAAAGAGACCGAGACTTCCTGTGTGCTGTCTTTTGTGCCTTCCCCTGTAACGCCCCCTAGCCATGCCCAAAAGTGGGCCTGGCTAGTGACGTAGTTCCGCCTACGTACGTATACGTCTTTACGTCCAGCCGTATATGTCTTTAGTCCTACCTAAAGTGGGTGTGGTTAGCGGTGTGGTAAACCGCCCTTTTATTACCTCATCTGTATGCGCCTCTAGTAAGTCACATGTTTAATGGCGGCATACAGACTTCCTCCTACAGTCCTAGGCTTGGGAGCCAAGCAGAATTGAAATCCTGTGGCTCCCTCACTGGGGCAATAACTCGGGTTCATTTTCCTCCTGCCATGGTACTTAGCATATGATAAAGTCAATTCTCCCATTTGTGCCCAAGACCACCCAGGTCCCTGCCCAGTCAGCCCAAGAGTGCTGCTCCAATTCTTCATATTCTAGGAGCAACTCAGGTCTGGGCCTACCTTCTTAAAATATGTCTGCTAACACATTTGAAACTGTCTTTAAGTGCTGATGTACCCAATGAAGGATAGCTCAATTTAATATATTTTAACTTCACAATGGTTGATAAGTGACATCCATTCACTGTAAATTGAACTTTGAATTTTGGCCTTCACCTGAACCATCGTCCACATGCAGTAGGGTTCTCTTACTCTGCTGGGCAGCACTCGGAGTCAAGCACACAACAGCCAGAGTTAATTCCCAGTTCTCTGCAGTGAGCTGTGGCATTAAGGAACAATGTTCAGGAGGCTACATTCATTTATAGTATCTTCAACTTGCTGTGGACTTATTTGTTGATAACTCCGACGTAAGCTTAGGAGCAACTGTAGTGTATATTTAGCTGATTCACTGCTATAAATGATGTGAGTGGTTAATTTCTGCTGGAGAAAATTGTAGCTGGGGATGGCCATGTGGTTGGTTGGTAGAGTGCTTGTCTAGAATGTACAAAGCCCTGTCTCTGATCCCCAGCACTGGGTAAACCCAATGTACTGCATAGGTATGTCAGCACTCATGAGTTGGAGGCTGGAGGATCAAAACTTCAAAGTCGTCTTCAGTTACAATAGCTAGTTTGAGGCAAGCCTGGAGTACATGAGAATTCATTAAAATTCAATTAAAATTTTAAAAAAGTCAGGGCTGATCCATTTTGACAGCTGGGTACCCTGTAGGAGATCCACCTGCTTCTGCCTACTCATCCTCCTATACCCATTTGATCTATGAGGCAAATATATCTCTAGAAACGAACCAGGTAAACACAATGTGATTCTCAGTCCACTCTCTTCATTTCTCCTATCTCTTAGTCAGACACGGAGTTCTGGGATAAGATGCAGGCAGAGTGGGAAGAAATGGCCCGGAGGAACTGGATATCCGAGAACCAAGAAGCCCAGAACCAAGTCACCGTGTCGGCCAGTGAGAAGGTAACTCAGTCTGTCCTCACATGCTAGTGAGCGTCTCAGGACTCATCAGACCACATGTCACGGGCCCATCAGCAAATACTTTGTGATGTAGGAGAATCTGTACTCGATGGGAAACAGGCAACCCTGGCGTGTGAGGGTAGCTGCCCTGGAATGAAAAGAAATGTCCCTGTTTATTACTGTTCCTACCCAAACCTGCCAGGGCTCATCATCAGCTACTGGTCCTGGTTATAGAAAACCCAGGTGGTGATTCCAAGGCTTTGGACTGCATTTCACGGTGTCAGCACACTATCAGCAAAGACTGTCATGCAAAAAAAAATGCTCTTCATATGACCAGGGTCACAGCCAAAGGACTACACAATGACACTCTAATGCTAAGAGCTCTGAAGAATAGAAAAGTACAGTGAACCACCAGCCAGATTGCCCAGTAAGTCCCAACTGCTTTGAGATCTCCGCCTTTAAAAACACTTAGTGAAAGGAAGACACTAGAGTTACTACAAGTATGCTGAGAGACAGAAAAATGAATGCTTCTTAAACAGAAAAAATTCATACACACATACAATTGCACACACAGACATATACACACATGTTTATTGATAAAAGTTTGCCTCATGGTTTAGGGATATGGAATAAGTCTCAGTAGTATTCAGTCCTGGATGATGTTCAGGACATTTTACTCAATACAGCAAATACTTGTGTAGCCTGTACTCTACTAGGTAGAGGAGATATGATGGTCAATCTGGTTCTAGGGGACTTACAATGCCATTCAAGTGTCTCTCTTCCCAGTGGTCTCGGTCCTTCAAAACATAAAATTTTAAAGTATCTACCTGCCCCACAAAATATATATATCCAGTATGGGTAGAAAGGGAGGACACTGTGGGTTTCTAGACCCCAGGCTATAATCCACACACCTGAGGCCTGAGTCCACCCATCGCCATGTGCCTGCAAGGTCCTCTGGCTGTTGACACCATGTTTCATCTCTCTGATCATCTATAAAAAACAAAGGCTTCCACTCTTTAGACCACAGTAACTTCATGACCAGGTGTGTTTATATCAGTCACATTGAAAGGATTTTCTGATTGTTTATGCCAGTGAAGCAGCAACAAATAATATTCTCAAATATTACAGGAGATAGTTTAGCCCCAGAGCAGACCAGCTACATATATACAGTCTAAAAAAAACAGTTCTCAAAGTCTAGCATAAGGTAAAAAAAACAAGTGCAAAACAATCCTGAAGAATGAAGTTTTCATTGTAGTTTTATTTAAGAAAAATAAATAAATACATTTTTGAGACAGTGGTTAATTTTGTAGCCCAGGCTAGGCTAGAGTTTACTGTGTAGCCCAGAATGACCTCAAACTCAGGGTGATCCTTCTGCCTCAACCTCCACTGTTCAGAATTCCAGGCATGAGCTACCATATCACTCTCATTTTTTTTAAAAAATCAAAATGTCCATCAGTAAGGGCTGAGTAAATATATTTAGCATGTCTACATAAATCATTTTAGTAACATAGGATAAACACAATCCAAAACTAAGTAGGGTGTAAGTTTCAAGACTGTGTATGAACCTTCTAAGTTGAATATTCATAGAAAATACTAGATGAGTGCTTGCATATTTTGTGTTAAATATTTTCAAATGAAGCAAATGTAATTTTTAAAAATGGATTTTCATTAGGGGCACCTGTATCCCCCAATGAGGCAATAAGTTGTCCAGAGATTTACTGCATGTAAGTAGGAATGAAGACAATGTTGTATTGTGGCCTCTTCTGTGTTACAGGGTTATTACTTCCACACTGAAAACCCCTTCAAGGACTGGCCTGGAGCATTTGAAGAAGGCTTAAAAAGGCTGAAGGAAGGAGACCTGCCTGTCACCATCCTGTTCATGGAAGCAGCAATTCTTCAGGACCCTGGAGACGCTGAGGTGGCATCCCCCTTCACTCTTTCAGACTGGAAAAGCGCCTAAGTGTGCTGAGGGGTCAGGACGAGAAGCGATGCTTCAGGGTATACCCTCACCAAGGTGTACAAAGGAGTTCCCCTGGCTCAGGCTGATCCTCTTAGAAAACTATGCATTACCTCCTTTCTAACCGAGTTTCTAATCTTCACGATCCAGAGCCTCCAAAAATAAAAACTGAGGACAGGAAACACAACAATAGCCAACCTGAGCCAGGCATGGTAGTTCTCACCTTTAATCTCAACACTGTGGGGCAGAGCAGAGGCAAGCAGGCAGAACTCTGTAAGTTCAAGGCTAGCCCAGTCTACGTAAGAGAGGGCTAGGCCAGCCAGGGCTTCATGAGACCATGTATCCATTAAAAATAAATAAATAAAACATGGACATGAGGTTTGCCCATGGAATTTAGGGAGGAATATGGCTTTTGTCTGGGCCTCAAGTCACACCATATATTACCCTTGATGCACTCACCCAACATTTGTAGAACATCTATTGTGTCCTCAAAACTCCTCTGAGTCCTAGCATAAAATGTTGAAGAATTGGGGAAATGTGCCTCGTTAAGAAGACACCTTTGTGGCGCATTCCCAGAGATGAGTAAATAAGAAAGGAATCTAGTCAGTTCAGAGTACAGCTGGAGTGTGTGGCAGGTCCTCCCCAAGGCTGCGTCCCTGTAATTAAGTTTGTTCCCCACAGAGAATCACAGTCAAACTAACTACAATGGCAAACAGTCTGTTTTGTTTTGCAATGCTTTCAGTCTATGTTGTGTGTGTTTGTTTCCTTGTGTTGCTTTGGTTTGGGTTTTTGTTTATTTGGCTGGTGTTTTGTTTTGCTCTGTTTTGTTTTCATAGGCATGGCAGTTTCTTGGTATAACCCAGGCAGAGAATGAAAATGAACAAGCAGCCATTGTCGCCCTCCAGAGGTAGGTCTGGGGGACAGACAGGTAGAACTTTGCCTCTGTGCTCTTCTTTCGAGTGGAGTGTGAAGATTGTCCAAGGCCTGTGCTGGGATGCCACGTTCCAGTCACACACAGTTCTGATGGGATAATTTCCCCACAATGCTTCTGGGTCTACAAGTCAACTCAAGTTCTCTAGAACCAAATAAAAGCTGTACTGAAAGCAGTCAGAAATCAAACTCATTGAATCAACACTTTCAATGCTCTAGGTTTTTGCAACTTCCAAAAGTTTTCTTCAGAAAAAAAAAATGTGTTCAAATTACTGACTGCAGGTGGAGATCGCTTCACATGGAAGGAGGGACAGAGCATGAGTGTAGACCCGCCCACTTAATGAGAGAGCCCTCCTTCCTTTCTTGTATGTACTGTTACTGTAATGCTATAGGAAGGAAGCAAATATGTCTACCCACACATGCTCAACATAATATACAAATGTGTATGGATGTGTACAACTTGTACCTGTAAATTCTAGAACTTCCAAATCTTAAAAGGTAAGATCCCAGGTACTTGGAGTTTGAGGGCTTTACATTCCCAGAATCCTTCATCACAAGACTTGGTAGTTATCTCGAAGTATAAGTTGATTGGGGAGTTGCTCTTTTTTTCCTTGAGAACTGAGAGACACTGGAAATTAGGGGTAGCCAAGGCCTCATAGATCATGTGCAAGAGAGATAGGATTTAAACCCCATCCCATGATGCAAAATCTAGTGCACCCTGAGTCAATCATTCCTAATTCTGCACACAAATGCACAATGGAATTATTTTTTAAGATGCCTTGAAGTCTGAGCCTTGGACACTCTCGGAATTCTGATTGACTTCGTTAGGACTGAGTAAGGAAGCATCATTAGTATTAGAATCTCCCAGGGTTCTGATGCACACTCAGGTTTGCCGCTAGGTTTCTGAGGCACTGGGAACTTACTACTCCAAGTCTTAGGTGGATCCTACCAGGGTCTCCATCATCTGAGGGCTTGCCAGACCTTTCCACGTGAGGTCTCACTGTAGCCCCAGTGCTAGAATGTGTGTAGTGCCAAGTCCCTCTTTTCACTTCTAAATTTGGAAAGTCCTGCTAGAGGTAGCAATAGCCTGGGACATGTACAAGCCTACATTGGTAGTCTAGAAAAAGAGATTTCCCCTCTCTGTTGCGAAACATTGTACAGCCTTTCATCTCACCCAGTTTAGGGGAATTAAGATAATGCAGCCACATTTAAGTAAGTTTCTCTCTGTATCATATAGCAGCTACACTTTAGAAAAGTTTATTAAGGTTATCAAAACCAGATCTGGAAAAATGGGCTCAGTATTTAACAGCATTGGCTGCTCCTGCAGTGGACTCTAGTTAAGTTCCCAACACCTACATGGTAGCTCACAACATCTGTAACTCCATTTCCAGGGGATCCAGTACCCTCTTCTGAACTCCATAGGTACAAGACTCAAACATGGTACATAGATATACATGCAGGCAAAATGCTCATGCACATAAAATAAAATGTTTTTAAAACACAAAGTTACAAATTCAGCTGTCATGAGGATGTTTTAACCACTCTTTTAAAAACCACTCTTTGATCTGGGTACTCATTCAGAGAAATAAAGTACTTTCCAGTTATTTGACATAATTTAACTTTTACAATTTTAATTAATGATTTTTAATTAATAAAGGCTGCATAATTGATCTGTTTTTTCTTCTCTCAAGGTGCCTGGAGTTGCAGCCCAACAACTTGAAAGCTCTGATGGCCTTGGCCGTGAGTTACACCAACACTGGCCATCAACAGGATGCCTGTGAAGCTCTGAAGAACTGGATTAAGCAGAATCCAAAGTACAAATACCTTGTAAAGAACAAGAAGGGCTCTCCAGGCCTCACTCGGCGGATGTCTAAGTCACCAGTTGACAGGTTGTCCTCATTCTGTGTAGAATCCTATTACTGTGACAAAATACCTGAGATAAGCAACTTATAAAGAAAATGGTTTCTTTAAGCTTACATTTTTGAAGGGTTAGACAATGGTCAATTAGCCTATTGTTTTAAGAACTGTTATGAGAACGGGCAGTGGTGGCACACGCCTTTAATCCCAACACTCTTGGGAGTCAGAGGCAGGCGGATCTTTTTGAGTTCAAGGTCAGCCTGGTCTTACCTTATGGTGACTGGGAAGAAAGGGGAGATAGCAAGGTTTCCCCATATCCCATCAAGCTTTGCTTCCATGACCTAACTTCCATCAGGCTCCACTTCTCAAAGGCTCTACCACCTTCCTACAGCACTACAGGCTGGTATTTGTGGGGGACACATAGCTCAACCCCAGAAGCTGTCCTTTAGACATAATGACCTGCGTTATGGCCATTCATAGACATATGGTCATTCAAGTACCATATCTCAAATCCAAGTGCGTTGGGATTTAATGCCAATACGCTGAGAACTGTAGTTGCATACACTTGGGTCCCTTGTTGGAGGAAATCATAATTGAATGTCATTGAATCCTTGCTCAGCTCAGCTTTAAGGATCAAACACTGGGTCAATGGCACTCTCCCATGAGGGCCTTACTTAACATAGCTTGTTTATGTGTTTTGTTGAGTATTTGTGACAATTGACCGTGTTGTTTTCATAGTCCAGTATGTCCAGTATATAATCCCAATATATATTCATTATTTTTTAATTTTTATGCATATGGGAATTTTGCCTGGATATAGATCTGTGCCTGGTGCTTGCTGTAACTGGGGTGACAGACCATCGTTAGCCACCATGTAGACGCTGGGAATCAAGCCCAGATCTTCCACAAGAGCAATAAGCACTCTTAGGCACTGAGCTATTGCTCCAGCCCCTAAACTATTTTAAGGAAAACATTTCAATCTGGGGGAAGGGCAGTTAAGAGCCCATGGTTCTCTTCCAAAGGACCCAAGTTCAGTTCCCAGCAACCATATCAAACACTACCCAACCGCCTGTAGCTGTAGTTCCAGGTGATTCAACTCCCTGGGCACTAAATCAGATTCTTCCTTCATAGCTCTGTTCTGGAAGGGGTGAAGGAATTATACCTGGAAGCTGCCCACCAAAATGGCGACATGATAGACCCGGACCTGCAAACAGGTCTTGGAGTTCTGTTCCACCTGAGCGGGGAGTTCAACAGAGCAATCGATGCATTTAACGCTGCCTTAACTGTTAGGCCAGAGGTAAGGAATCCCAGCATAGCTAAACACCCTGGGGTGAGGGTGGGGACACACTTATAACAAGCAAGCTTTCATGGGCGATTCTCTCTGTACTTTCCTTCTACGTTTTATCTCTGCTGCTGGTAAGTTCAAGTGCAGACGATAAACCGTGCAACTGCCCATACCAAAATGCCTAAAACGGAAGCATTAATTATGGGACATCAGATAACCACTGCTCTTCAAAAGCCCTTTTCACCAAGTTAACCAGGGAGAAGTTTTAATAATTCAGCTCATTACAGACCCTTCAGCCATCCTGCTTCACTGGTCAAGGGAAGAGGGGGGGAGCACTACCATGGTGCTCCTGGGCATGAGCTAGCTCTGGTCTTTCTCATAAGGATTACTCACTGTGGAACCGTCTTGGGGCAACCCTGGCAAATGGAGACCGCAGTGAGGAAGCTGTGGAGGCCTACACGAGAGCACTGGAGATCCAGCCAGGCTTCATCCGCTCCAGATACAACCTGGGGATCAGCTGCATCAACCTGGGCGCCTACAGGTGAAGTACCTAAGCTATCTGGGGGCCCAGCGCAAGCCTGTGCGAAACATTAAGAGTCCAACCTTTAATTCATCCATTTAAGAGAAAAAAGAATCGTGGAAATGGAAAGACCCAGGGGGATCTGATAAAACAGCCTTGGGAGGTTCAGAGCCAGTGTCTGGCAAAGCCAAGCCAAGAATACAGTTGTTCTAAATGTGATGTGCAGATAGAATTAGTTAGGGAAGAAAAATTACATGGTAGATTTATTATTTAAAATACAAGAAGGTTGTTGTTTAAAATGCCCTGGCATAATTATAGGCCCAAAAAGCTGCAGAGACATTGAACATCCAGGATCTCAGCTGTTCCCACCCCCACCCCCACCCCTACACTCACCCTCACCCTTACCCTCCCTCACCCCCACTCACCCCACCCTCACCCCACCCTCACCTCACCCTCATCCCTACACTCAGCCTAACCCCTACACTCACCCTCATCCCTACACTCACCCTCACCTCACCCTCACCCCTACACTCACCCTAACCCCTACACTCACCCTCACCCCTACACTCACCCTCATCCCTACACTCACCCTCACCCTTACCCTCCCTCACCCCCACTCACCCCACCCTCACCCCACCCTCACCTCACCCTCATCCCTACACTCACCCTCATCCCTACACTCACCCTCATCCCTACACTCACCCTCATCCCTACACTCACCCTAACCCCTACACTCACCCTCATCCCTACACTCACCCTCATCCCTACACTCACCCTAACCCCTACACTCACCCTCATCCCTACACTCACCCTCACCCCTACACTCACCCTCATCCCTACACTCACCCTCATCCCTACACTCACCCTCACCCTTACCCTCCCTCACCCCCACTCACCCCACCCTCACCCCACCCTCACCTCACCCTCATCCCTACACTCAGCCTAACCCCTACACTCACCCTCATCCCTACACTCACCCTCATCCCTACACTCACCCTAACCCCTACACTCACCCTAACCCCTACACTCACCCTAACCCCTACACTCACCCTCATCCCTACACTCACCCTCATCCCTACACTCACCCTCATCCCTACACTCACCCTAACCCCTACACTCACCCTCATCCCTACACTCACCCTAACCCCTACACTCACCCTAACCCCTACACTCACCCTCACCCTTACCCTCCCTCACCCCCACTCATCCTCACCCCTACTCTCACCCTAACCTACACTCACCCTCATCCCTACACTCACCCTAACCCCTACACTCACCCTAACCCCTACACTCACCCTCATCCCTACACTCACCCTAACCCCTACACTCACCCTAACCCCTACACTCACCCTCATCCCTACACTCACCCTAACCCCTACACTCACCCTAACCCCTACACTCACCCTCATCCCTACACTCACCCTAACCCCTACACTCACCCTCATCCCTACACTCACCCTAACCCCTACACTCACCCTAACCCCTACACTCACCCTCACCCTTACCCTCCCTCACCCCCACTCATCCTCACCCCTACTCTCACCCTAACCTACACTCACCCTCATCCCTACACTCACCCTAACCCCTACACTCACCCTAACCCCTACACTCACCCTCATCCCTACACTCACCCTAACCCCTACACTCACCCTAACCCCTACACTCACCCTCATCCCTACACTCACCCTAACCCCTACACTCACCCTAACCCCTACACTCACCCTCATCCCTACACTCACCCTAACCCCTACACTCACCCTCATCCCTACACTCACCCTAAACCCTACACTCACCCTAACCCCTACACTCACCCTCACCCCTACACTCACCCTCACCTTCACCCTCGCCCTTACCCTCCCTCACCCCACCCTCACCTCACCCTCACCCCTGTACTCACCCTCACCCCACCTTCACCCCTACCGTCACCCCTGCCCTCACCCCCACCATCACCCCCACCCGCATTCTCAGGATGCTTTTATACTTCCTACAAATGCTAAAAAGGCCAAAACTTTTAGTTAATGTGAGCTTTATCTATGAAAAGTTGTGGTGTCAGAAATTAAACTAGAGCATTTTAAGAGATTCCTTGAAAAGTAGTAAAACATTGCAAGTCAACAGAAATGACATGCTTTACAAGAAACTACTTCCCAAACCAAGCTGTGCCAAGAAAAGAAGAGCGGCCCGCACTGGAAATCCCTTTAGCTCCTGCTTCCTCGAGGCCGGTTCCCCGCCTTGGTATTCTGTCTGTGGCACCTCACTGCTTGAGCAGGTGACAGAGCAGATACGGGGTGAAAGTGAAAAGGTCACGTGCCGCCTCAGTTTCCTAATGAAAATCCCAAAACGGCCTCTACTGCCCCGCTATTGACTTAACTGAACCTCTGCAAAGGAATTTACCTGAAGGTCGCAGCCAGGACCAAAGGCCAGCTGCTGTAACAAAGAAGAGCAGTTCCAGATCTCTGCCACTGCCAGGCAAATCTAGGCCACCTTGCTTTTTCTCCCCTTAAAGACAGGTGGCCTAGATCACCTCTGCACACAGACAGAGGCCCCAGTCATTCCCGGAGCAGAGGAGATGCATCCAATTAGCTGTGGTGGCATTGGTCTCCCTCTGCTACATTTTCCTGATCTCTTTCTGGCCCCAACTCTATTTGACCATAGCTGTTCACAAGAGAAAAACCAGGGAGCCTGAAAGTCACCCCTGGGGAGCCCACTCGCCCTGGAGAGGAGACACTGTTTATTTTGGTGTGCTGACTCTGGGATTCACCGCGGTTTAAGATGTGCCTCTCTCTCCCTTTTTAGAGAAGCGGTAAGCAACTTTCTCACTGCCCTCAGTTTGCAAAGAAAGAGCAGGAACCAGCAACAAGTCCCTCACCCTGCCATCTCGGGGAACATCTGGGCTGCCCTCAGAATTGCTCTGTCACTGATGGACCAGCCAGAACTCTTCCAGGCAGCCAACCTTGGTGACTTGGATGTCCTCCTAAGAGCTTTCAACTTGGATCCTTAAAGGAAAAGGAGGGAATACAGAATAAGCCCTCATCTGCTATTATACTTAAAAGGGACAAAACTATTTTATTATGGATTTCCAAAAAAAAAGAGATTTTTTTAAAGGCTAAAGCAGAGAGTCAAAAGGCTGTGGTCATATAACCCAAGGGAATTGATTACTATAGACAATCCCTAGCCTCTGTTCAGATCCAAAAGCACAAAGTCAAGGTTGGGTTCAAGAACTAAGATTCTCCAAACAAGCCAAGATAAGGTCACCATGTATACTCCTCCAAGTTACAAGTGGACTTTGAGTTAGTCCCTCCCCAGTCACAGCTGGTGGACTCACAGCTGGTGGCCCATCTGAGGAGCCTGCCTGTTCATGGGGCCTAGCAAGACAGTTTGTCTGCGGGCAGTGAACTCAGGCTGACTCAAAGGTGTCTGCGCCTTTCGAGAGACTGAACATAGTCTGGGCCATTGGCGCATGCACACATACAGCCCGAGTTAAGGCAGACATCGCTTCCCCCTCCTCCTTTCAACTTTTTACTGTAAGCCGTTGTTTCCAGAGAGAGAAAGCGCTTTGCTGGCAACAGCAGTTTTTGCACTAGACGTTTTTGCTGTTCCCAATGAAATCCTGTCTAGGATTGTAAATAAGCACTTTAATATCTTATTTATGCCTTGCTGGGCTTCGGGTTTGTTGCTTGGCTTCTAACTTGGCGGAGGGTGGGGACTAGAAGATTTGAGACAGATTTGTTAGCTCAATGGACCAAATAAAAAAATGACAAGAGTTTTTCTTAGTGTAGGGTTTTGAAGGCGTGTTGGCACAAAGTGTAAATGTGTTAAACCCAGTTTCCTTTGCGTGCTTTCTGGGACTCTGTGGATCTCAGTGGGAAGCAAGATTCTGCCTCAGCATTCTCCCTGCAGAAGGAAGCTTGGCAATCCTGTGATTTCTAATGGGTTTGTGTTAACTTGTTTTCATACCCTGTTTTCTGGCTTTCTAACTGCCCTGCACAAGATACTCCTTTTAAACTGTTGCTATTTTAAATGGTATTTCTTAAGCGTGATAAATACATTTTTCCTAAAGTTGATGTGTTTCCTCAATTCCATAAGAGCCCACACTGTCCACCTCCTGGAGTTGTGAGGGACAGAAGGTCACATGTGTGACTGAGCTGCACTGGGTGGCAGAGTTGTCTCTGAAGAGGCGCCCCTTGGGCTCTAATTTAAACACTCAGCAAGAGTCAGGCCTTTTCCACTGGCAGAGACACCTTATTTAATGGTTGGTCTTCCACGTATTTCTTCAGCTTACTTTGTGGGTGTTTGGGACTCAGTGATAAATTTGTGGGTGGTTGGAGCTCAGTGGTTATTTCAAAAGATACACTTACGAAGAATTAGAATAATGTTGGCAAAAGACTAACCAAAATACCATTTTGCTTGGCTCTGATGTTAGCAAATTTCCCTGTTTTTCTTCACGTGTGCCCTTCCCACCTCCAGACTCTTCCTGGAAGTAGCCTGGTCCCAACTTTTTCATGTTCTTTGCTTACTAAGAGCTCACCCCACCAACAACTGTCGCTACCAAAAACCATATTTTGAGTCAAAGCGGATTAATTAACTATGTAATTATCTACTCCTGGTTGAAAATGTGCCCAGAGGCTGACTGAGCCCCTCCATCACTGTGGAGTCCTCTGGATTGTGAGAGACCTGAAGTTCACAGGCATCCATTCCTGGGCACGGCAACAACTCATGCTAGCCTTTAGCAGCTGAACCATCTCTCCATCCATGGTTCATGCTTTCTATTAGTCTGGGCAGCAAAGGAAAGGTCAAATGTATTTTGAAGAACAGATTTTCTAGACCAGTGGTTCTCAACTTGTGGGTCACAACTCCTTCGGTAAAATTCTATCTCCAAAAATATTTATATTATGATTCATAACAGTGGCATTGCTATGAAGTAACAATGAGAATAATTTTATGGTTAGGGGGTTACCACAGAAAGAAGAACTGTATTAAAGGGTCACAGCATTAGGATGGTTGAGAACCACTGCTCTAGACTGTTAGAAACACTGGGAAGACCTCTTCGGACCAGACTGTAGACTATCAGCTTGAATGTTGCTGATAGTGTTGTGACCATTCCTACCTCCTTCCTCACTCCAAGTGTCACCTGTTGGCCACCTGATTTGATTCCCTCAGAGACCCTCCCAAGCCTGTAAACAAAAAGGTTCAAAGCAACCTTCATGGCCATTCTGTTCATAACACTCCCCAGGCCCTGGTCTTGCAAGGATAATGACCTACCACACCCTCAGCCCAATCACTTCACACAGGAGCTGAGTCTTAGCCTGACTAGCGCAAATGTGGGGAGTTTCATTTCATTTGACTGTTGCTAAGTAGCGCCACATATCGTGGCCCAAGTTTATTTTACCGAGATACCAAGTAACTTCAAACTCTAGGGAGTTATGTTAGAAGACAGTTGACAATTATCCACCTCACCATTATATAACATTTTGTAGAACATTTTGTGGACTTTCTCCAATCTGTTAGTTAGTTCTGTCCATAACAATTAAGATTTTTGTAGACTACCACCTATCGGGAAGTCCAAAATTATTTGCCTAAGAGGGAAAGAGTTGCACTTCGCAATGCTATGGTGATGATAATAAGTACAAACCAATAACTAAAAAGTAGAACCTTGTATAAACAGAGCCATAGCAGACATTAAGCAATGAGACTTTAGTGTCTTTCCCATGGCATTGGCATCTTTTCGTGGTATTTTTAAATGCAGAAGTGTCGAGGACTTTTCATTTTCACAGCAAGAAATCTGCCTTTTGTCTTTCTGTTTGAAATTCTTTTGAGGTCCTGGGGGAGGATCTTAAGGATGGTACTCATTCATACAATGGCCACTCAGTAGCTTCCAGGGACTGATTTTGCCAGTAAATTGGATGAAAATGTAGAGAAAGCCATTAATCACTGCTGAGTTTCAAAATGTTACAAGTTTTGATAGAACATCTGTATGCAAAGAAGAGGCAGAAGAAAAAGGGACTGGAGATGTAGCTCAGTGCATCCCAGAACTACATAAACCAACCACGGTGGTATAAAGCTGCAGTCTCAGCACTTGGGACATGGAAGCAGGAAGATCAGGTGACTACAGTCATGCTGGACTCTAGGAGACCATGTACAGCTGAGGAGTAAGGAACCTTCTAACCCAATCATTCTCGGTAACTCTGCATTCTCTGTACTTCATCCCAACAGCCCTCCCTACAACCCACCGGAAACTTTAATATCTAACAATGAAGTGCACTTCCCAGCCAGTCTGATGTCTGCCAGAATTGGGTAGGAACATCCAGAATACACTCACTCTCAGACTTCCATGCCATTTCTATTTATATTGAGAGATCATGCTGACTCTTAGATCAATATCCAAATTCTCTTTTAGATAAGTCGTGCTGGCGTATCCTCACCATATGGAAAAGGCTTGACTGTAATTGTAGCTCATCTCACAGTTCCCAAACCCCTCACCATAAAGTTTATCTGTGCACTCCTGGGGGACCAGAGGAAAGTGGATGGTCACTCTGTGTCCTCATCTCTCTGCTTCCACACAGTGGAATTAACTTAGCACTGCGATGGTGGTAGTATTTTCTTTCCTGTCCTGACATGCTTCTAGAAGCAGTCTAGAAACCAGGTTTTTGGAATATTTAATTCATGTGCCATCTTTCTAAGACCTTTTATTTTGAAAATGAAGACACAGGCAACACCCACAACTTCAACCTTGTAACATAGCTTCAAACCGGTTCCCTATGCAAATGTTCCTGCACAATGCCCTTCTCATCCCACTATTTACAGGACTGGCTGAATTAAGCTGTTTTGAACTAAGAAGTAGATACGTATATTTTTAAAGAATGTTCATAGATCAACTCTGGCATAAAGTTTGTAAAAAGGCAATTTTTAAAAAGCAAAACATATAACCTCAGGTACAAAACTATTGCATGCATCAGTACTTAAAAATCCGCCTATGACTATTAACCAAAGCATGCAGGATACTTTACCAAATGTAAACTGGCCCACTTGCCCTGTGCATGACTGGTGTCATAGGCTAGCTTGTCTTTCCACTCTTCTCAACAAACAAGCACTTCCTAGTGTTCCAGTATTTTCTATGTGCTTCCCCATCTCACCCTGCAGACGGTTAGCCTGCTATCACATTGGCAATGACTGATGATCACAGGTTGGCACATACCCTGTTACTGACAGTCCCAGCTCAATCTTCTGAGGGATCCAGGTATAGACATGGGTCCTTAAAAACCCATGTGAAGCTTGACAGAGCTAAAACTGTGACAAAGACATACAGTTGTCTCTGCACACGAAGCTCTAAATTCCTGATAGTGTATTTCAAGGTTTCTTTTCAAAAAGTTTAGGGAAAATTTTGAAAACATTGGGATTCTAACTTTTTCGGGGAGGTTCAAGTGATGCCATGCACACGGAGATTGCCCTGAGACAAAGTGGAGATGGGGCCTTTGTTTCCCATTGGGATAGTACGTCACAGAGTAGAGGGTAGGTTACTGTTCTGTTTGCGAGGTCAAAGTCCCTCTCCCTTCGGAAACTAGATTTGATCAGCCTGACCGAAAACACTCCAGGGGTAGGGAGATGATTCTATAGCCAATGTCTTCTCTCTGTCTTTTCCTAAACCCCAGTTTTATGAAAAGGCTGGGAAGTCTAGTGGGACCAGTGCTGGGGACATAGTCCTACTGGTTTACTGCTTGTCTCCCATGCACACAGCTGTCGGTTTGATCTGGGCATGGTGGCACACATCCATAATCTCAGCAAGTGGGAGGTGGGGGCAGGAAGGTCGGGAATTCAAGGTCATCCTTGGCCATATGGAGCACAAGACCATCCTGTGCAATATAGGACACTGTCTCAAAAAAATTAAAAGGACTTTGATTTGCGTCATATGTGAAAAACAACATTTTTTACCCTTTCATAATGTCCCGTGCCCTCCCACACACAAGCCCAGAGTCTACACACTACTCTTTCCCCACACAGAGAAAGACCATGGTGTGCAGGCAGTAAAAAATTAAGAGGAAAGCACCAGGAAATCAAAGTGTGAGGCTTAATAGTTTCTCACACTGCACATAGATGCTGCAGTTGCTACAGAAACACCAAGTGAAATGCTCTGGAGACCAGTGCCCCAGCCTCAGGACCAAGTGAAATGCCTGGAGACCAGTGCCCCAGCCTCAGGACCAAGTGAAATGCCTGCAGACCAGTGCCCCAGCCTCAGGACCTCCAGAGCCAGGGAAAGGGTAGCTGAGTATCCCTCAGCAAGACAGAGAGACAGCACTAGAGAAACTTCACTGAAATGCATCTTTGAGGTTGGTTTGGTTTTTTTTTTTGATTGATGGGAGAGGGACTGGCAGGCACACGGTAGAAAACTGGGTATCTGCCATCCTCACTGAGACTCAGGACATTCTTTCATAGGGATTTTGAGAGGACTGTGCCCTGTGATCAGCGAGTTCATGACCATCATGTTACCATCAGTAAAGACACCACAGCCTAAAATCAGCCTTTCTTCTCCGCTTCATCATCCGACCCAAGCCCTCCTCGACTTTCATTACCTAACTGTTTACATCAGTTGAAAAAAATAGCTGAATAATTCAGTAACTTTTTACAACCTGTAAGAAGTGTTTATTAACTATTTAGAAACATTTCTATCTATTTTATATATCTATGAATACTGCATATCTAGTCTAACCTAAAAATTGTGTTTTAAGAAAAGTGCCATGATGCTTTCCTTACTGTGCTCAATATCTTTAAAAATCTGGGAGTTTCATCTTCAGGCTGACATAGGTAACAGAAAAACTGAACTTTAAAAGTTTACACTGAATTTCTAAATTAATACCAACCCCAAATTAAGTTATCTGTAGTCAACTAATGGCAAGGGAGATTTGAATATTATTGGCATACTCTGAGATAATGTTTCTATGGCACAGTGAATGCACGCAGCCTACGCTGTCATGTAGTAAGCCCTTGTCATAGTCTTTCTCTGCATTGCCTTTGGAAATAAAACTACTATAAAAATAACCACTTGTCCTACTGATGTGTTAATTCACTCAGATGACTTATAATTCGCAAAATACTGAGCCTGAGGTAGTACGTTCATACCTTATTGAAGGCACACCTTCCTTTTTCACATTATTAACCTGTATTTACATCTGTGCGGTTTAAAACTATGTTTCCAAATAAATTTTCTGTGGCTTTATGGTCTTTTCAGGACTCTCTCAAGATGGGATTTCAGGTCAGAACCACTTAAAGCCAAGTAGAAACCAATTACTACTGCTTTAAGAAATATCTTTCATTGAGTATCACTACATATAATTTTGCATGAATCATCTGGAAAGCAGAATGCATTTGTAGATGAACCACAAATCTTGAAAACTGTTTCCTTTGTTAATTTTTTAAGACTAAAATATTAACCTAAAATTGAAATTTGTGATCTTTTTAAATAAAAGCATTAAAATATGTGTCACTTGAGGTTCTTTCTTGGAGGGGGTCAGTCTGACAATAATTTGAACACTGACAGCATGCAGGCCCCATTCTAGTATAAGATGCAGCTAGACCAAACCAGTAAGAAGGCATGTGTGCCTAGCGGGAGGAAGGGACAGTGGGATACTGTGAGAGGACTTAGGTCCTTATTTCCAGGTGGCCAGAAAATAGGGGACATGTGGGCTGCAATTCAAACCAAGAACCAGCAAAAAGGAGTGGGAGACAACATTCCTGGGAGAGTCAACAACTAGGACACTAAGGTGGGAATGAGCTTGGTGTGCCCTCAGGAGCAAAGGAAACCAAGGCAGCAGGGGCTGGAAGCAAGGAGGCTTTAGGAGATGCCCATTGGGTTGGGGAATCCTGGGAGACCTTCTCAGAGCAGGGCAAAGGGCAGAGCTCCCCACCCAGCCCTAAAGCCTGTTTCCAAAGCAAAGTCATTCTGGCCTGGTTAGGTTGACAGTGAAGGTAGCTTCAAGCACGGGGCCAAGACGGGGGCTCACGCCTCCTCTACACTTCTCCCTGTTGATCTCAGGTGGTTCTTGGCCCTGGTGGCTTCCAGTCTTTCCTCCAAAAAGTCAAGGTGTACATTTTCCCTCCCTGCTTCACAGTTAGGTGATACAGCACACTAATGTAGGGCACTGGAGCCTTATTCTCACCTCACATTAACTCGGGGCTCTCTTAAAAGCCTCCTACCTCCACTTTAAACATCAGCTATTGTTCCAGAAATAGCTGCATCTCTCCACGTGTATGCAACACCAGCCAAAGACGTAAGGCATTCTTTACGATTTTGTTTGTGTGTGTACATGTTCCTGTGTGTACAAGTGGAGGGGGTATGCATGTGCATTTAGAGGCCATAGGTCAACCTTGGGTGTCTTTGAGGTCACGATTCTAAACTCTGTGTGTGCTTGGCACTTTTCTGCATGTGCCTGTGTGCAGAGACCAGCAGAGGGCATCGGATCTCCTGGAGCTGGAATGATGGGCCTTTCTGAGGTGTCCTGGCACAGGTTCTGGGAACTGAATTCCCAGTTTTCTAGAAGAGCAGTATTCTAAATCTGAGTCATCTCTGCATCCCCCACCTACCTTAGTTTCTTGAGTCAGGGTCTCACTGATCCTGGAACTCACAAATTCAGGAAGACTAATTGACCAAAGAGCTCCAGGGTTCCTCTTGTCACAACCCCCACCCCAGCAGTAGGACTATATACAGGTAAACGTCACAGTAGCTTTTATGTAGGTGCTGAGAATCTGAACTTAGGTCCCCATGCTGTGTGGAAAGCACTTTCATGACTGAGCCATTTCCTCAGGCCCTCTTCACAGGCTCCCTAAACTGTACAGAAAGCACTTACATGTTTATTTAATAATAGTAGTAGTAGTATTACTAACTTTACAATCCACAAAAAACTGCTTCCTGGCTGGTTTTGTTTTGTTTGTTTGTTTATTTTTGTTTGTTTTAGAGTGGTTTGGGTTTTGTTGCTTTTGTTTTCGATGCTGAGAATTCAGCCCAGAGCTTTGTACAGGCTAGGTGAGCATTTCACTACTGAATACTCTAGCTCCTGGTAATCATAGCCTTGCATCTTGCCTTGGGAAAATGATGGCTAATTCTAGTGCTCCTCTTTGTAGAATCAAAGTACTAACCCACAGTAGGCTGCAAATTGGAATTTACTCACTTGAGCTTTGATGAGTGTAGGCAGGCTCCCCTGGTACAACCTGCTGACCTGCCTGGGTCAGATCCTTGTAGGTGCCATTTACCCAAGGGACACCTTGTCCCCCGCTTCCCCCACTGTTAATTTTACCCACTCCATAATTGAGTTTTGCAAACTGTGGTCAAGTGGGGGAAGGTCCCTCGCATTCAACGCTGCCTGAAAGGTGAAGCTGACCTCCAGGCCTGCCAAACCCGGCCCAGGAAAAGGGAGGCTTCAGAGAAACAGCCAGGGCACTAACCAAAATCTGCTTTTCATTTAAAACTGAGACTCAAAATCATCCAGATAGTGTGATGCATGGCACCATTCCAAAACTCAGGAAGCTGGGCAGGAGGACTGTGGTCTGGAGGCCAGTCTCAGCCTCATAGGCAGACCCTGTCTCAAAAGAAAAAAAAAAAAAAGAAGTGAAGGCAATATTGCAATATTACTACAAGTGCCACCCCATTGAATGACAGGGCTGATCATTGATCTGCTGGTTAGTGATGTCCCCTACCTCCCTCACTGTATCACGTGCATCCCTCCCAAACCTGCACGCGCAACCTCCCCCAAATAGAGAAAGATTGCTTTGGCCAGAGAAAGGTAAAGCTGGGGAGGGAGGGCGCCATCTGCTGGTGCTGGCTTCCCTCCCTCCCATTTCCCTCTCTCTATTACTCTACTGTAGCCCCCACTCTGGCATAAGACCCCATCCCACTCACCTGTTCTGGCACCTGGGACCTGCAACTCCTCCGTTGTTTCTTGTCGGCTTCCAAAGGCGGTTTGCTGTTTGCTCACCTCGTTTCTCACACTTGAGAACTAACACCTTCTTGGCCCTGCGCTATGCACACCGCCACCTATCAGCCACCACGACTTCTCTCCTTAGAGCAAAAAACCTGAAGCGTCCTGTGTTTACAATCTGCAATTTTCTCCTCACATCTCCCCTCCGTCCTTACTCTCATATCATCCAGCCTAAACAAGAGCTAGTCCTAAACTTCAGTCAGATAGGCCATTGTTCTGTGGAAGCCCCTGAAAGTTCTATAGTCTGGGGTCCTACCCACCCCACACCCAGGACAGCTGACCCCCCCATCCCATCATGCTCACTCCCCTCTCTTCAGCCCTGCTGACTCTTCGCTGCTCATATGACAGAGCAGACATGCCATCACTGGGGGCCTCCACACTAATTCCCCCAAATTCCCACTTGGATTGCTCCTTCTCCTGCAAGTCTTGGTCCAGATCTCATATTACAATGCCATACCATCCCTGGGTACCTTTTATCAGAATCAGCCCCGGTGCCCCACGCCATGTTCCCACAGCACTCCGTATCTTTTCACACACTGGAGAACAAATTCGGATGTTGTACGTTTAACATCTGAGGTTGCTAGGAAACTAATTCAACAAAGGCAAGGAGCATGCCTACTTTATTTACAGGCACACTGTAAGGAAAATGACACATAGAAACATGGTAGATGCTTGTTTATTACAGGGCGCACAGATTAACAAGCCAGCTGGCTGAATGAAAATCTCCAGGAAAGTTTGTTTGGAAAGCAGTCATTAACTATGGTGCAATATTTATTTTAAAAATACCTTGGACTGAAACAAGGACTCAAGTCCCAAGGGCTCCAAGAACCATTTGGGCTAATGTGGTATGCTGTGTCCACCAAACTGTCGTATGTTTTTCATATCTCATCTGAGGAGTCATTGTATGATGAGAGATCAAGTCACACTTTTGCAAGTCAGGTGAAAGGAATCTGATGTTGAACCTGTATGCCCCGTCCCTGACATGCTACCTCCCTACTGCCCCACTTTAAAAATGACTGGCCACCTGCTAAGGGAAATTTCACCTTTTCCTATTATATTTTCCCGCTATGACTAAAGTCTGTCACTGGCTGCCATGGAAAAGCTGAGCTAAAGATTCCACAGTGTTGTTGTTAAATGACGAGAAGGGCAGGCTCGGTTGCAAGGCATGATGGGATAAAGCAGCAGAAGCTAGCCTGCAGGCATTTTTCTCTGACCCATAAATAATCTCACTGTGCCATCCACTTTCCCCTCTCACCAAAACTATGACCTGGCACTAAAATCAGGCAGCGACTAGGACTTTCAAAATACATTGGTTCATTCTTTTAAAACCTTTGAGCCAGAGATAGATGTATTTTCAAGCAGTAACATACCCTGTGCACTAATTGTAATGTCCCCAACCCCAAAGACATTAGTAATGTCTACACTCTAATACCTGTGGCATTATGAATGTGTTGTCTGATACAGCCACAGGAATTGTGTAGATGTGATCAAATTAAAGTTTTTGTTTGTTTGCACGGGGTCTCTTGGAATCCAGGCTGGACTCTAACTGCCTGTATCGCTGAGGACTCTGAAATCCTGGTCCTCCTGGTCCTCCTGGTCCTCCCGCTTCCATCTCTCAGCTGTTGAAGTCACAGAAGTATACTGAGGTTAAGGACTTTGAGGTGGGAGTGTCCTAAGTTACCAGAGTAAATTAATGCACTCCCTGGAGTTCTTATAAGAGGGAGGCAAGCAATCCACCAATAGTTATGTGAGCATGCCTGATTTCAAAGCTGTCAGGACCCTGCTTAAAAAAAAAGTTCTGGAACAAACCCTGTCCCAGGGTTTTAGCCATAGGATGAGTAGGTGGACATGGTGTTTTAAACCAAGATGTGGTAATGTGCTATAGTAGCAGTTGGGAACTTAAACACAATAGAAACATAGTGTCCTATAGGTCAAACACCTGATGTAACACATTCACTGAAGGTCTGGGGCCACAGAGGTCTGTGTGTGACTGGATAATCAACAGGGAAGCCGAGATGTCAGCTTCCTGGACTCCTACCATTCCAACACTCCTTCAAGGTGCTGACATCTGCTGGGGATAGGGACCAAGGCTGCCTTGTCACACCAACAAGCCATGGTCAGAGATTAAAAACGGGCATGGTCTCACATTCCCCATTCACCACTAACATCAGTTTATTTGATTTTTTTTCCAAACGAAAAATAAACAAGAGTCATAAAGGGACCTGAGTTTGTGAGAATAGCTTTTAATTTAAAACTATCAAAGCAATAAATTATCCATCTCTTTCCAACACAGGCAAGTACTCTCCCAAACACTTGTAATTTCCACACCAACCGTGACTAATGCAAAGTAAATAAATACCAAGTCTTCCGGCAACCAGCAACAGCAGCAACGCTGCTGGGCAGGCAGGTGGATCAGGCTCAACCTCAGCCCAAGTTGAGGAGTTCTGAGATCCAACCAGTCTTTGCAAACACCAAGCTGTGACAGACTACAAAACGCCCAGGAGGGGAACTACAAGAGAATGTTGCCTGAGGTGAAAGTGGTATGCTCAAAGCCCAGCCACAGCTAAAACATCCGCAGCACCCCAAAGATGCTGGGAAAGCAGACACCAATCCACAGGGCCCCAAAGCCAGGGTAAAGAACGGCCATCCATCGGAGATGCCCTGCTTCTGTCTCTAAACTGGGAAGACTGTTTTTTAAAGCAGAAGAATCTTGTAATTGTTGGGGCATGTTCAGTTCCTCATGTGCTATGTGCAGCTTTGATTTGGAGCCCCCCCCTGCAGAAGTCTCTTCTTACACATGGGATGTCACTGCCTACCTCACACTGTGGAGCACTGCCAGACGAGCCATTAGCCACAGATCCAAATGACTCAGGAGCCACACAAAATCAGATATCAGAGCGAAATTCATTTAAATGTTAAATTACCATTACGTTAATCAATGTGTCCCACATCATTTGCAATCAACATGATGAGTTAATCGTACTTCATGTTTTAGTGTGCATTTTATGCATGCAGGGCAATCTTAGTATGGATTGGTCAAATTCCACCACCCTGTAGGGCTACAGTGTTCCACAAGCTCTAAGGATGATTCATAGAGTAGGTGTGCTAATTAAGTTTTGTTTGTTTGTTTGTTTGTTTGTTAATATGACCCAAGCTAAGGTCATCTGGGAAGAAGGAACCTCAATTGAGAAAATGTTCCCATTAAGATTAAGGTGACCCAGCACTTGGGAGGCAGAGGAAGAGGCAGGCAGATCTTTGTGAGTTCGAGGCCAGCCTGGTCTATAGAGTGAGTCCCAGAGAAACCCTGTCTCGAAAACACAAACAAACAAACAAAAAAAGATCAACCTGTGGGCAAGCATATGGGACACCTCCCTGATTAATCTGATCAATGATCATTGTGGAAGGGCCGAGGCCACTGTGGGTGGTGCCACCTGTAAACAGGTTGTCTTGGGTTCTATAAGAAAGCAGACTGAACAAGCCACGGAGAACAAGCCAGTGAGCAGCACCCCTCCATGGCCTCCGTCTCAGTGTTTGCCTTCAGGCTCTTGCCTTGCCTTCCTGCCCTGACTTCCCTTCATGGTGAACTGTGAGCTCTAAGGTAAAATAAGCCCTTTCCTCCCCAATTAGCTTTTGGTCATGGTGTTTATTACATCAATGAAAAGCAAACTAGGACAAGAGGAAATCCTGGCAGCATCAGGTAGGCGGTTCTACCCACCAACGTACCAACACAGGCCTTGTTCTGTCGGCTGGGAGTTTTATCCACAGGCAGAAGCACATGTATCTAACCCTTACTCTGTTCTGCCCAGTTTCCTGGCAGCTACTCACTGGCTCTAAATACCCACAGTGAGACTCAGCATCCATGGTGTCTACAGTGACAAAGACAGACTTTCTAAATACCTCTCCTAGGACAGACAACTTTGTCAGCGATTATCTGGGGGTGGGACTGTCTTCAAGGATTCTAAAACTTGTTTGTGTTAGATAGACTGAGTTGAAGGGCACTCTGAGACTTTCCCGAGAGGGTGTCTTGAATGGATTGCTGCTTTTGCTTTGGGGAGGGACAGTCACAGAGAGCCTCACAGGAACAGAATGGGGTGCATACTAACGATGACAGGGTCCTACAAACAAATAAGCCCAGACTCAGACACCAAAATTCTGATTGCCCCAGCTCTTGTCTGACTGGGGTTATAATCACAGAAAAGTAAAACCAAAATGTGGTTATAGGACACATGGGGACTTCCCAATTATCAAGTCTAATTCTGATCCACAGACAAAGGCCCAAAGAGATAAAATAACTCAGGCAGGTCACACTAAGAGGCAAAGTCAGGACATAAGCCCACTTGTAAGTGTGCAGTTCAGGTAATAGGAGCCCAAAGGAATTCAGGGGAGACAGCAGGCACATTCTCTTGTAGGTTTGGGGAAACAGGCTAGGCAAATCCAGAAGTGAAACAACATTCATACAAAGTGTCACTAAAATATGATTCTTCTCAGATTCTTTTCATTTAAAAGAAAAAGACAATCCCTTCTGTATCAAACTGGATTCCTGACTAGTTATTTGGGTATTTAGACCAAGTGACAAAACAGAAACTTTGAGCTATTTTCCAAAGACACATTGGGAGTCTACACAAATGGGTATCAAAAGATAGTTACAGAAGGAAAGCTCTTTCCTTCACACAGATGCCTACACACAGAGAGAGAGAGAGAGAGCCACACAAACACACCACCACATTCTCACACAGAAGACTCCTGGCAGATGGGTTGGTAGAGACAAACCACATGCTGCTCCAGTTGCAGCCACACGAGCGTCCTGTCTACCCACATGTGTAAGGGAAGCGGTACATCCCACTCGTACTCCAGAGAAGCCTGATTTGCATATACCAGGAGACACATGCAAGCACATTTTTAACTAGAAAGCCGCAGTGCACCCAGCTCCCAATATGAATGAATAGCGCAAATACAAAACCTTGCCATGAAATAGCCCTTGTGTTGGTGAAGCAGGGGGAGAGGCAACCATACTACACTTTCTCGAAGTATGTCTCAGCATCAGTTTGCTTAGTCTACCTAATGAAATTAAGTGGTTTTTGGCCTAATTTTTCTAATTTTTTATGTGGATTTTACACCATTGATATTGCAAAGGTTTTATTAAAAATTTTTATTTTTTTTCAAAATATACATGCTATCTTTGACCACATTTGAGCTCAGACCTCCAGAGAACCCCTTACCCCCAAAAAAGGCCTTTGCTTTGTAGCACTTCAAACCAGCCACTGGAGATGTGTGTCATTATTCTATGACATGTGGCCCTATAGGGAGTGGGTTTTGTAAGGCTGCTTAGTGTGGGAATTCCCTCGGGGGGTAGGGGACAGGATGGTCAGGGACACACAAAACAGACACTTAGGGTCTTGAAATCAAGCCTAGAAGGGGCGTCAGTGGGACAGTGTTGTAGAGAATTGCTGCTCCCTCCCTCTGCCGTGTCATTTCCCAAGTGGAAAAAGCATCAGCAGAGTCGAGAAGGCAGGGACACACTGGCCTGGCACCTACCATGTTCTGCCTTCTGCTCTCTGTGAAGATTCCTAGGCATGGATCAAAGCCTTCTAGAAAGAGGAGACGTCTCCCCTCATCCACATGTTGATGAGGGGAGTGAGGCACGGGAAAAGGAAGGGTTTGCCAAGACCCATAGCCAGTTGAGGCAGCACCCAGGGTTGCAGGCCTCTGGCCCAAGCTCCACAGCCCAGACTTGTAGTACATATGACCTTCCTTGAGACAGGGCCACAGCTTAACAGAGCCCTGGCTGTTCAAACTCACCGCATCCTAGCCCCATGCCCCTGCTTTACTCAGCCCCAGTTGGTTCTACCTCTTCATTCTTCTGCAGTTTCTAGAAAGATCTTTTCAATCCAACAAGCACACATTGAGCAGACAGCCATAGACCCTTTTTCACTTCGTTGACTAGTCTGAGCTAGTGAAAAGCAGTATAAATGAGAGAGAGAGCTCCTTCCTCCCCAGAGCACATCCAGAGCTCGGCTCTGATCTCAGGCTGCAGCTAAGACACTAAAATGTCCAGCTGGAAAGGATGGTACAGATGTGTCTCTGCAGCTCACATCCTTAAAGTGCCCAAGGTCACACTATGCGACACAGCAGATAGGCAGTGAAGGCAGAGGTCAGACTGGCCCCAGAGAAGCAGAGAAGTGAAAACCTAAGAAAGTTCAGGGACCAGAAAGTCACACAGAGCAAGGGCATTTAACATGATTCCAGAGAGTAAGCACAAGGCAAGAGATAAGTTACCTAACTACGAATAAACACAAAGCTTTGAGGGGCTACGCTGCCGAGGAAGAGAAGCTGTCTATATGCCTTTGGCAAAGCACAATAGGACAAGACTTGGGCATCTGGCATTGATGTCAAATGGCACAGACCCGCACAAATGCCACACAGCACTTAGAGGCCATAACACAGCCCTTTGTACTCATTAAAAATCCAAGTGGGGAACTAATTTTTAACAACTGTTCCTGAGTTATAGGTTTGGTAAAATGTTTGCCTGCCTTTTCCAAATATGCTTAATGGCAACTACTTAGCCTTTGAACACCAACCCATCAGATTTCCAATAGACTACAAAGATCACACGTACACTCTCACACACATTCACACAGTGTATTATTAACTCTGATATGATTTAAATTAAAAATAGTTTCCATTGCAGATGTCCTAGTACACATACCTAGGTCAGAAATTATTGTGGGAAATGAAAACATGATACCATCAATAAAAACAAGCCCAGGTTTTGATTTCTTATTTGGGGGCACTTTTTCACTGTAGGTGAGGTCTTACCACTGACCCCTAAAGTAGAAGAGGGAAGGACACTCCGTATCTGATGTGCTGGTGCCAATGTCTTTGCTTACATCATCCACTCCCTGAACAGTTACAAAATTCCCTACAACAGAGTATTGCCACCAACAGACATTTCTTCCCAGGTCTTCTCCAGAAGGCGTCAAGTGGAGTGACCCCAGTCTTGAAAGAAGCAATAAATAGTCATGTAGTCCTCTGTGTCCAGTTGTCCAGACTTTTTTCCTTTATTTTTCTTTTTCCTTTTTTTCTTTTTTTTTCTTTTTGGCAAATTAAAAAGGTGTATGACTTCTTCTAGCCAACTCTTGTAAGGTTTAGCTTGGTATCCTGCGGTAAAAGTACATATATCCCAGGTCTTTGGGGGGCCTTTCTGAGGCACAAACTTTGTGGTCATTGTAGATCACCCACCTGCAAACAAAGACAGAAGCATGTGGTGGGTTTGTGTAGGCAATGTGCATGGCAGAAAGAAGGCATTGTACGCTGTGGAGGGGAGTCTTAGCAAGTCACGTGACCATGGCCCAACCACTCACAAAAGGAATGGGATTTTGATGAACTTCCCACCCCCCAGATCTCTCTCTTTCCAGACAGGGTTTCTAACCCCAGGCTAACCTCAGATTTTATAGGTTAGCCCAGGATGCCCTTGAACTGTATACCATCCTTGGTTTATGTGGTCCATGTGACTGAGCCCAGGACACTGTACCCGCTAAACAACAGTTCGCCAGCTGAGCCACACCCCTGGCTCTGCTTTTTGGTTCTTGAATTCAATCAAAAACTAGTTACTAAAATGTATTGGAATTCTTCAATTTGTTTACATTTTCCAATCCATAAGTCTTTTTTGTGGAAACCCATAGTCTCAAAAAGCAATCCAAGAATTATATACAGTGATGTGTATTTAAGTCTTGGTACAGAACAGCCTACAATTCAGAAGTAAGCATGCCTCAGTGAACTATTAAATAACTATAAAAATTTCTCAAAAAATGTTTGATAAAGCAAGAAAATAATCACAGTACAGTATGAAGATGGAATATGGATGAACTGCAATATAATATGGAGGAGACAAGTAGGTTATATTTAGTAATACATATGTATATACATGTATGCACACAACAGCAATTAATCAAAAAAGAGGCCAAGAATTTGAAAGGGATCCAGGAGGGGTATGTGGCAAAGTTTGGAGGGAGGAAATGGAAGGGAAAAATGTTGTAATTACATTATAGTCTCAAGAAATTTATATTTAAAAAACAAATTCTGAGAAAAATAATGCAAAATAACCAAAAACAGGATACAATTCCCTGTACATACTTTAAGGTTTCAAAAAGGTGAAAGTACATGTGAGTATGTGTATGCATGTGTGCCCTCCCCCAATGATACCAACAACTAACTAAACTAACTAAATAAATAAACAAATAAGTTGATAATGGCTATCCTTACACTTACAGAGTACATATTCTTTGCATTGTTTTGTATTGTGCTAATTTGTTACAATTATTTGTACTGATTTCTCTAATTAGGCTACTCATGTACGTAAGCCCCTGTGTAAAAAAACAGATTGTCCATTTTCAGCACAAGGTCCCTCTTTCCCATAGTTCACAGCTGCTGGTCTCAAAACCCAGGAGTTTTAGAAAGGACTAGGTCCTCTGCTATAGACTGAGCCCAATATTGGAAAGGGAATACTCAGTTGTCCATTGGATGAAGCTATCAGATGGGGAGTTTGGGATAAGTCCCAGCAAATAGAACTTGCCAGTTGGGCAACTTGAAAAACCACAGTCTTATACCAAATCAGTCCACCAGGCATTTTTGCCTTTTCTCTGTGCTGTGTCCTCTTCTACAGAATAGTATGTTAAAAACTGCTCCGTTTTCACTAGGCTCTTGAATTTGTTATTATCTTATTTCAAACCATAGACCTGTGTTCTCTGCTTGACTCTACTAATCATGCTGAGAATCTAAAACAAAAAGACTTGAAAAAAAGAAGAAGAAAAGAAAACTAATTGAATCTGGATGGGATCAAACTGTCTAGTTCATGGGAGTTGTGGGTAAAAGGTCAACACTCGACCTGAGTGGACAAGTGTATGTGTTATACTAGTATCCATGTGATGTAAACAAGCCAGAAAATCCACCACAGAGTATAGCAGGGAATTGAAGGAAGGACACCCAAGGATAAGGCATGAGGTTAGATCACCTCATTCCTACCTCACCACAAACCTTGAAGTTTGACTTAAGAAGCTAACTTCTAGGTTGCCATAAACAAAATGCCAAAGGTTTGGGGCTGCCAGGTAGAATACAGGTTACCCAGCTGAATCAAGTAAACAACAAATAACTTATTAACATAAATATGTTCATGTAATATTGCAAACAGGCAATGTTGGAAACACACTTATACTAAAAAGTGTTCATTTTCAAAACTTAAATTAACCAGGGCATCCTTGTTCTCTTGTTTTCATGGTTAAATACACTATTCTACAGAGGTTCCAAATACAGCCTACCTGATGCTATAGGTGCACCTTTATTTGGGGATGTCATCTTGGCACAATGCCAGTTCCAGCACACCTGACAACTAGCTAACCTAAGTCCCAGGATTTGCATTTATAAAACAGTTAAGCATACAATGTGTCAGACAGATGTGCATGCCTGTAATCCCATCACTCTGGAGGCTAAGGCAGGAGGATCTCAAGTTAAAACCAGCTAAGACTACAAAGCAGGTTCTAGGATGGCCTGAGCTACATAGGGACTCTAGTTTAAGGGTGGGGGCGGAGCATACCTCTTCAAGACCAATGTGAGAGGCTGAGCATGGTGGTACATAGTACACACCTTTAATCTAGCACTTGGGAGGCGAACACAGGTGGGAATTTTGAGACCAGCCTGCTCTACATATCGAATTCCAGGACAGTCAAGACTACATAGTGAGACCCCATCTCAAAAAAGAAAATCAACATAAGAACCAGAAATAACATAGAAGACACTAGTACAATAGCTGAATCCATAAGAGGCTCAACAACACAGCTATTCACTATCTTTCTAAAAAGACTCACCGTCCCTCCTTTTTGATATGGCAAACATAATGGCCACTCATTGTAGATGTTCCCATGTGACTGATGAATGCGAACAACTCGTACACTGGGGAAAAGAAAACAATTCCGTTACAAGGCAGCAGTCAAGAACACAATATGCTCCTGAGCAGTGCCTGGAGCCAACAGGAGAACCACTGGCTGTCCAGGCTCACAATTCCAGTCAGTTAGCCAGGCCGCGTTGATCACACACATATGTACACACACACACACACACACACACACACACACACACACACACACACACACATTCACCCACACTGATATGGAGTCCCACCAGCAAGCAGGAATAATCTGTCAAAGTACAGCAAGCACTGCTGGTGCTAAACTCAAATCCAGAAGCAGGATTACCCCTCCCGCCCCTACCCGAGTCTGCAGGTGGAAAGATGCACGAGGGTGGAAAAGTTGTTCCATCTTTTTGAGTCTGTTTCTATCATTGAGTTTGAAGAAAACAGAAAATGGAAGAAAGAAAAGGAGAGAGGAGAGGAGGAAGGAGGGCAGAGAAGGGGGGGTTGGGAAAAGGAGAGAGGGAAGGATGGACGGCAGAATGGAGGAGGGAGAAGGAGGAAGGACAAGGAAAGTGAAACACCATCCACACTTCAGAGCTTTGTGAAATTTAGAGTCAAATGTCATCAACTGTCCAGAATGTGGGGAAGACCACTGCTGTTATTTTAGGAAGGGCCAATGCGTCACACAAGATGACTGACTCACGCTGCCACCTATGGGCATCATAGGACATCAGCTTCCTGCTTTTCTAGAGATGGGTGACCCCACAGAGAGAGCAAAGCTATGCTTATTGTCTTCTCTGTAACTACGGTCACCAAGCTCAGTGCTCTGACCAAGATTTTGTTGAGTTAGTTTCTGCTGTGGAATATGATTTTAAGATGTGTTATGTTTGTTTATGCTGTGGAATATTGATTTAATGATGTATTCTTTCATGCTGCATTTGTTTTCCTCTGTGAAGCTGTGTTATTTTGCCTGTCTAAAACACCTGATAGGCCTAATAAAGAGCTAAGTGGCCAATAGCAAGGCAGGAGGAAAGGATAGGCGGGGCTGGCAGGCAGAGAGTATAAAGATGAGGAGAAATCTGGAAAGAGAAGATCAAGGAGGAGCAAGAAAAAGAAGAGGACATCAGGGGCCAGCCATCAAGCTACACAGCAAGCCATAGAGTAGGAAGTAAAGAAAGGTATAGAATAGAGAAAGATAAAAGCCCAGAGGCAAAAGGTATATGGGATAATTTAAGTTAAGAAAAGCTGACTAGGAATAAACCAAGCTAAGGCCAGACATTCATAAATAAGAATAAGCCTCTGTGTGATTTATTTTGGGAATTGGGTGGTGGGTCGCCAAAGAACAAAGAGTAAAAAGAGTAACAAAAAAATTAACTACAAGTTACAGTTCATGTTGCCTGTACTAATCCTAGACTCACACAACACAAAGTGAACTTCATGGACAAGTACCTACACACTCAGTAAACTGTTACAGGCTATGATGAGACAGCTAGAAGGCAGTGCAAGCATTTACAGACTTCCACAGTCAGGAGTTGGCAATATTCCTATGTGAGTAAGAGACATAAAAACGGAATTGCATATCCATTTCTACTACCCAATTTTTCATTATCTTTTTCCAAAATAGAAGGTTCTGAACCCATCCTCATCTTACACTCCTCTTCCCTACTCTCCTACTTGCTTTTTACCTGCTGACCAAATTCTCCTTCCCCAAATACTTGTCCTGGACATGACCCCTTGGTTGCCCATATGCACACTCATGGTCTACTATCTGTCCCATCTGCTGGCTCTCTCTCTCATCTCTTTACCTACCAAAGTCAGTACCTGTAGCTCTGATATCTCATATTTATTCCCCCCCCCATCCAGACATCCTCTTTCTGGTTAATCTAACCCAGTCTCCTGGAGCAAATGCTATTGCTTTCATATTTTCATTTCTTTTTTTTAAAGGTTTATTTACTTATTATGTATATAATGTTCTGTCTGCATATATTCCTGCACACCAGAAGAGGGCACCAGATCTCATTACAGATGGTCATCAGCCACCATGTGGTTGCTGGGAATTGAACTCAGGACCTCTGGAAGAGCAGACAATGCTCTTAACCTCTGAGCCATCTCTCCAGTCCCATATTTTCATTTCTAGAGTGCTAATCATCCATACATAGCACAAACTGTCTAGGAATGGGGAACCATACCTGCAATCCCAGAACTCAGGAGGCTGAGGCAAGAGGACACAGAGTTTGAGACGAAACCCTAACTCAAAACAGAAAAGAATCTAGGCCCTGCCCTATATGAAATGACAGATTTTGGACACCCCCATGGAGGGCCTCACCCTCCCTGGGGGAATGAGGGGATAACGGGGGGTGGGGTGGGGGGAGGGCACGGGAGGAGGGGAGGGAAAGGGAGAGGGACCTAGAACTGACTTGTGAAGCAACCTTGTTTCTTATCTAAATTTAAACTGGAAAATAAAATAAAAAAAAGAAAGAAAAGAAAGAAAATGAAACAACAGCATAACTGTGAATTTTGCACCTTGCTTATTTCCAGCAACCTTGCAGTACCTACTTATCAGTTCCAAGACCATCCATAGAATCTTAAGGTTTTCCACATGTAAGACCACGCCAACTTTTATTGGGTTGAGGACGTTTCCTTTGGTCCCTAGTTAGCTTTCACTCAGTCTTACCATCTCAATCAATGGCAAGACCATTCTTCTAGTAACTTATGACAAAAATCTTGGTATCTCTCTTGCTCTTTATACCTAGCCAAAATCATTAGCATCATACCCTTTAAAAATATATCCAGAACCCAGCCATCACACCCTTCCTCACTCTTGGGCCTGTGTCACCACTGTCCTTCAGGACTGGTTACAAGTCTCTTAACTGATCTCTGTCCCTCCCTTGTCTCTGACACTTGGACTACTCTCAGCATGGCTCCCAGAGTGGTCTTTTACTTTCCTTTCTCTTTTTTTAATGGAAGTCAAATTGTGGTCATTAGTCCTCACAATGCCCTCTGGTCACTTCCAACAGACCACAGTAACTTCTGATTCTTGCCCACGAGATTTTCTCCCAACTTTTTTCCCTTACTTCACTCCAGCTACTCTGGCCCCTAGCTGGGCCTTGAGCACACCCAATGAGCTCTGTCCTCAAGCCTCTATACCTACCATCCCTTCTAGCAACAACTTTGTCCTTCAATCCTTATATGTGTCAAGGCCACAAGTAAGATGCCACCTCATCAAATACTCACCTATCTCCCTCCTCATCTCACTCCTGTTGTTCCCTCATCCGGCCTTACTGTCCAAATAGCACGGAATGCCACAAGCTTATAATCTACCAACTATTAACCGGGTCTAAAACACAGCTTGACAAGGACAGAGAGTTTGAAGTTTTCCTTAAAATATTCTAGGCACAGAAAAAAAGGTGACTTTCATGAGATTATTGGATATTTTAATCAATAGTGAAAAGGATAATTGTTATTGTAGCTTCCCACAACCATTTGGCCCCAAATAAACACACAGATGCTATACTAGTTATAAAACAGTTTGCCAGTGACTAGTGATTCTTATTGGCTAGCTCTGTCTTAATTATTAGCCCGTTCCTATTAATCTATGTATTCCCAGGTGGTCTTGGCTTACCAGACTGCCACTGGCTCCATCTGCCTACCTTTCCCAGAATTCTCCTACCCTAGCCCCGCCTGTCTCCCTCCCTCATTGGCCAAACAATGTTTTATTCATCAACCAGTAAGAGAAACATATATACAGAAGGACAACACCATCGGGTAATTTTTCTCATGTCCATACTTGTTTCTATAGCTTCTTATATTATATATATTCTTGTAAACCTGATGACAACATGTAAATTTGGGTATAGATTGGTAGATCAATATTAACAGGAAATTAATCAACTGCTAAGGTTAGGTTGTTATCATATTGACTGGCTGAAATGGAATCCCAGTTTAAAAATCAGAAGCCAGGCAAAACAGTTGCTATGGCAGTTATAATACCCAAGACTCAATTTTCAAAAGAGGGATCCAGAAAATTTACATTTGTCTGCCTCCTCCGAGCCACCCTCCTACATAAGAACCCAGTCTGCCTCAGTAGGCAGGAAAGGCTAGGGGGAAAGCTTTCTTTAATGCCAAGCAGCTTTACAGGCAAACATCCTTTGGAATAATTTCATATCAAATCCCAAATCTTCAGCTGAAGAGACACAATGCTGTTGTCTCCAAGTGCAGCTCTCCCTATAGATGTTCATGAAGATAGGACACAGTGTCCCAAGGCTTACCCTGCCCCACCCCCCACACAACTGCTCCCTAAACAGTAACTTCCACAGTACATTAGAACACTGAAGGAGCCCACCCCACCCCAAGCCAGGACCACCTCAATGTCAAGTGGTTCATACACCCACATAGCACAATGCCCAGTCAGATGAAGATGCACCCAAATGTTATCAATAAAGCCATGCATTAAATCCTGTCTTAGTTAGGTTCCTAATGCTGTGACAAAACACCATGACCAAAAGTAACCTAGGATGAATAGGATTTATTCTTGCTTATGATTTTCAGGACACAGTCCATCATCAAAAGAAATCAGAGCAGTAACTCAAGGCAGGGACCTAGAGGCAGAAATTGAAGCAGAGGCCATGGAAGGGTGCTGCTTACTGGCTTGTTCCTTATGGCTTACTGAGCCTGCTCTCTTATACCATCCAAGGCTACCTGCACAGAGGTTGTAACATCCACAGTGAGCTGGACCCTCCCACGTCAATAAAGAAAATGCACCACAAACTTGCCTACAGGACAAGCCTATAGAGACATTATGCCAATTAAGATTCTTTCTTCTCAAATGACCCTAGCTTGTGTCAAGTTCATAAAATTAGCCAGCACAGTCCCCAGAGGCACTTTCCCTTCTTCAGGTAAGAACTAACTGTATGTGTCCACTTAGAATCATAACAAAATCAAAGTGTATACACTCAAAATCTTAAAAATAAAAGTTTGAAGTTTAGCATGAATCTTAGTCTCATAATTTAAATTAACCACGTTTATCAATATCAGCAACTTTCCTATGTATTATTCAAAACCTCCTGCTAGGGACTGGCAGCAAAAGAGAGAATCCCTTTTTAACACATTTGCAGAAGCTAAACAGGCTAGAGAGGCCAATTTATATTGTTTCCAAAAAGACTGAAATGAGTAGAGCCAATGGGAAAGCTAGTTGGTTCTTCTCCAAATCCCCTGAGTTCCTGGCCCAAACACCAGCTCCATCCCTAGGCAGAGAGAAAAGGCAGCTTGAGTCAAAAATAAATGGTTCAGAAATGCTGACTTTCAACAGAGAAATGTTCAAAATACCTGGAACAACTTGAGATGCGTGACCCACTGCTATGTCTTCTATCCCGAGAAAAGTGTCTAAAAGAAAAGGCTCAAGCTACATGTGAAACAAGAACTATTCTCCTCAACAGAACTGGCTCTTCTTGAATTTTATGGGCACTGTCTCAGTCTTACAAATAAGGAAGGGTCATTTGATTGCTTGTTTTTAATATCACATGGTACCCTCACCCCCGCATCCTACCAAACACCAATTGTACTCTATTGCTTTTACTATCACATGGTACCCATGGTAACACCCCCCTGCACCATCTGACGTAATATCAATTCTACTCTATACTATTGTTCTTCAGGAAAGCATCTGTCAGGGAAATTCTACAGAAACTCAAAGGTAAAAGAGCATTTGAGTGTCATGTGGAGAAATGTCACCCAGAGGTTGTCCATACCATAGAGATATCTCCATGAGTGTGAGCCCACCCTGCAACCTGCTTTTGTCCTGGTGAGATGGGGGAGAAAGAAATGAGAGGAGTATTACACAGCTGTGAACATGACTGTCAACATCTGATTATCACGGGGTTAGGGAAACAACTCAAAATTACCAGCGTGGTAACATTCAAGCAAGTCTTCCTCTCCCAGTCTAAAGGCTCAATTTGGCTTGTCTCACCACTTACTGCTGAAGTCCCAAGCTTAGGAAGCTGCATTTTCTGTCCTGTGGGTCACATAAGGTCAAGGATGCACAATCTGAACACATAAGCCTTTGCCCTAACTTAGGCAAGCTTACCCTAACCTTTCTTTGTCAACTCTTTCTTAAGTAGTCTGGCATCCTGGGCTAGAGCTGTGACTCAGAAATAGAACTCTTGCCTGGTATGCACAAGACCCTGGGTTGACTTCTGAGCACTGCAAAATAGGAAGTAAAAACCAATATGATAGATATTCTGAGGCACTACACAGTGGTGATGTCCTCCCACCAATCAGCTAATCTGTGAGGTATGTTCATTTCAGATTCTTGAAAGTCATGGCTTTGCCTTCTTGAAAATCATACTTGAATTACATGTCATTACCTCAATCAACCCCAGCTTTGTAACACCTTGACATGATCCCACTGTCATAAGCAATTGCTATACACAACAGGCACCAGTGTCTCCTATGGACATGAACCCGGTCTGCACTGAAAAGAAAAGGCTGGTAGACCATTTAGAGACTGTGAAGCTCAATTGTTCACTCCCATTAGCTGTACTGTGGGAAACACCTTTGGCATTTGCAACCCAATGCTAACAAAGTCTTAGTCGCTTCTCCAAAACTAGGAACTCTGGCTACCTCAATTCAGTTGACACCATCCATTGCCTTTGAGACAGGGAATGGTGACACTATGGTAAGCCTGGAAAGATCACTAGAACCCTAGCTCATAGCCTGTGATGTACTGAAAGTGTAGCACATGACCTACCCTACACACTCACTCTCCCAACAGTCTTAGCCATGGAACCCAGAAGCATAAAAGCCAGGTGCCTCTGTCATAATGTCTCTAATAAGTCAGCTGAGCAAATGAGATTGACTGCTGCAGATCCCCCAGAAGGACAGAAGGTAAACTAACCTCAGGGCTTTAGTCTGCTACTCACAAGAGTTCTGTGTTTCCCATATCTACCCATATGTTCTGCTAAGAGCTTCAGTGAACTGTGTTGGTCACACAACTGGCCAGACTGCCACACAACCAGAGTGCCACGTACCTTTTCACAGCACCCCTGACAGCCCTCCTTCCCCACCCCCATCCTCAATTCTGCTGCAAGTCTTTAGCATTTACTACAGAAGTAGCAACTAATATTTTAGGTATCAACTCCAGAATGTTTGTTAGTATGAATTTGACTATGTATAGAATATATACTAGGTGCTTGGTATTCTCAAATAGACTCCAAATAAAGGAAATTCCTTCTCAATGGGGCTGCAGCTTCCAGATCTCATACTACATAGCCTTGTTTTTTTCCCTTTGATATAACACTGAGAAGCCTAGACACAGGGGTGTGAAGGTGGAGAGGTAATTTGGTCCTGCCTCAATGAGATGATGGAACAGACTTACACTTTCTGAGGAGCAGATGGGGGGGAAGTGAGGGGAGAGGAAGGAGAGGATGAAGGGGGAACTGGGATTGGAATGTAGAAAAATAAATTGAGAGAGAGAGAGAGACAGAGACAGAGAGAGAGAGAGCAGAGGGAGAGGGAGAGAGAGCTCCTTCAATTCGTTAACAGCACTGTGTTGCAAGTCATGTCTCCTGCCTGAGATGTGAGGTTCCCCCTTTTCTCAAGATCTTATTGGCCTTCCTGGCCCTGAGAGATATTCATGCCCTATTGTCAGAGAGTTGTTAAATGTGCCTGTGTATATAAAACCTAGAAGACTTGTGGGATGAGGAGGCACTTTTAGAGAATTTTAGAAAGAACTTTTGGAGAATTTTTAAGGACAACTTCTAAAGAGAACTTTAAGAGAGCTTTTAGAGGAAGAACTTTTGAGGAGAGAGCTTTTAGAGAGAAATCTTAAAGGGAACTTTTGGGGAGAACTTTTTTTGAAAAATAAAGTTATGAGAATGGTATGTATATGAACTGATTTATTGGCCCTCAGATCAGACCTTTTAGCCAACCTAACCCACCTGCTATAAGCCTCCTGCCTGAACCCACTTATGGGGAGCTGCAGCTCTTACTACCGACACCCCGGTGAAAAGGAATTTCCTTTCTCTGGGGTCTATTTCAGAATACAAAGCACCCAGTATATATTCTATGTACAGCCAAATTTGCAGTAATAAATATTCTGGAGTTGATACCTGGAATATTAATTGCACTTCTGTAATAAATGATAATGGCTGGCAGCATCTCACCTTTTTTCAGCTTATTAAAAAAATGTGTAGATCTCTCTCCTTAGGCAGTGTAAACTATAGATAAATACAAGTCTGAAGGTAACTTAAAGTAGAATAGTTGGTTAATACACTGTTGGGGTTTCCTCCAGTGGAATGCATGATGATCTCATTGGGTCAGCCTAGTGATTCTGTCTATTGAGATCTCATTGTATAATCCTTGTGGCCTGTAGCACAATTCCATGGTCCAACCAAGTGCCTTAAAAGATACCTAAAAAAGTTGCATGGTGTCCTGAAAGGGTAAAATTCGACTCCAGCAAGACCTGGGTATCCTTGAATGGCCCTAAGGTACAGTTAAGCCTGAGGGATTATATGTCTGTTTTTTGTCATTATTGACCCCTCAGAAGAAAGGAACCCCTGAGGATCAGAGCCCCTGCTGCTTCAGTCCAATGTCATGGCAGCTTTACAACAACCCAATCATGGACATCGATGAAGCAGTCAACCCATGGGCACAGAGTGTGGAACAAATGATGCTTTGAATCATTGAGAACGTGTCTATTAGAGCATCCTGTGTTTGGGACCTACTGGTTTCTGAAAAGAAGAAAACCTGGTAGATGAATATGGAATTTGGGAGAACTGTGTCTTACCTTTTCTTACTTGGAAGAATGAAAACTTTCAGTGAGTAAATTCCCATTTGATAGAGGAAGAGGGGGGAAAGGCACGAGATAGGGGAGGGCAAAAGAAGGAGGAAGAAGAAAAGAGATCATGTGGCCAGTAATGGGAGCGGGTGTTTCACAAAAAAGGTATTCACCTGGCAAAGGCCTGAAGCAGGCATGAAGAGAGGGTGATGGCTGAGTGTGGTGCTGTGGTACAATGACAGACATATAGGCTGCCGGAAGAAGGATGCAGAAACAACAGATGTGGTAGGCTAGGTTGTGACTGTAGGGCATGCTAAATGACAGGATAAAGAGCTAAGTGTCATCCCACAGGAAATAACAGCCCAAGAATAGGATATCGTGATAAACATGGATGATGGGTCTGAACTTGTCCCCACCACTAAAGAGCTGTATGACCTCAGGTACTGTATCTACTCTTTCAACTCCATTTTCTCACCTGTGAAATTGGCTATGGTAAGAATGTAAGGAGTGTTTATATACAAAGTGCTTACAACAGTTCCTGGCACCCAGTCACTACCTAGTAGTTGGCTCCTGAAAGATACAACACCAGTCTGCCTGTGGAATACCACGTCTAGTCATCTTGGAACAGCCCTTCAGGAAACTGCCAGCAAGCAGCCTGGAAATGGAAGAGTCATCATGGATCTAAGATTGCTTTTCCATATTCAAAGCATTCCTCTAAGAATATAAATTCTTCTTTTGACCAAGCTGTCATCCTTCATGAAGAAATGTAAACCTCACTGGAAAGCACAAAGTTGAGTTGGTGCTCGCCTAACCTAACCATACACAGAAAGGAATATACAAAGTCTAAACTTGCACCTAACACACATGCACGCGCACACACACACACACACACACACACACACACACACCAACACTTCTGTGACATGGTACTACATTATCTGATTTTTATCAAACCATGGCAGCCAAAGTGGCAGGATATGAGATGTTGGCTCTGTGCCAAAGGTTCTGGTACATGGAAGGTGAAGAAGGTGTGACCTGAAATAAATTCATGACTGCTGAGATGATGTCTAGGGCAGGACTTACTTCCAGATCCATCCTTGACTCTGGGTCCTTCAGGCTTGGCCTCGGACACGATGTTTGCATTGGCATTGTTCTCCATCTCAATCATGAAGTCACTGTCCTCTTCAAACTCCGGGTGGCTGAAGATCCAGTCCAGTGCCCTTTCCAGGTTATGATTCTGAAGAAAGGAAATCCACAATGAATTCAGAGTCCAGGCCTCATTACCTTCCAAACATTTGTACCAAGTGTCAAGCAGCTAGGCAGAAGGCCCGAATTAATTGGTCCTAAGCATCTCTGAGTGAGAAACTCGGAGTCTTGTCACTCTCCCATGCATACCCTACCACAGCAGTGACCAGAAAATGAGCTCCAAAGTCTCCTCTTGTCTTAGCTCAGCATTATTGCAGGTTGGTGCCAAAGATGAGGAATGCAAAGTGCCCAAGGCAAGGCAGTGTTTCTGCACAGCCCTTTCTACAGCCACAGTGATTATATATACTGTCTTTTCTGCCACTGGCATCTTTGTAAGGTAAAGGTGCCAATGTACACACTGCATTAGTGACTTTTTGCCTTAAATACAGGAAGAATGAAGAACAAAAGAATACCTTGGTTAATGGTTGGTTTAGTGGAATCCCCTGTGGTTCAAACCAACTGCACATGAAGTAATTTCCACCTTCCTGTTTGTGACAGCACTAACGAACTAAAGAATTTGTTTACATATAAAAACTTCAATAAAACAAAGTAGGGTTCATGAAAACTATACAAGTGAGAAAAAGTCTGGTTGATCTTAAAAGGAAAATTCCCATGACCTGGTCAAGACTCACTACAACCTCAGCAATGGGCCCCAGCAGGCAACTCAGTCAGGACAGGCACAAGGACCTGGGAGTAGACAGCCACTCAGAATGACTTCTGATGTGACAAGGGATGGTGGGTTTTAGCAAGAGTACTTTCCTGACCATTAAACAGATACCCACACCATCAACCCATTGTTGCATACACCCATGAATTGAGACATTCATTCATAACTACAGAAGAAACTCCACTCTGCAGAGGGAAACAGTGCCAGAGAATCCCAAGGGCTTTTTACAAGGATCTTCAAGATATATTTTTCAAAGATCTTGATATCAAAACAGTAGGATTTCATCGTAAAAACTTTCTTACCAAGCCGGAACCTTGGCATCATCTTTGCTCTGAAGTTGGCAAATTCCAAGAAGACCTGTGAACCCTCACATGGAATGTTCAAGATCTTAGTCATATTGTCCCAGCTCCATACCCCCTCATGCCTAAGCTCACCATTTGAGTACCTCACTCATTCAGTTTAGTTTTGTGTATACTACATGCCAATAAATCTTCGTGAAGGGTTCTGTTACCCAGTCAGACAAAGATGACTTGAAATGATCAAAAGACATTGGGAGGTCTCTGTTGCCAAGGATCAAACTGAAACCACCTCCAGCAAGGCCACAATTCCCTAACTCACAGTCATCAGTGCTCACCGTTGCTCGTAGGGCCTGCACTGCCTGATTGCGCTGAAATCCCATGGAGGTGATGATAGCTATGATTTCCTCAGGAGGTTGGTTGTCCAATCCAGTAGCACCAAATACAGAGGCTCCAGCCCCTCCATACCCAGGTATGGCCAAAGGTTCAGCAAAATCTGAGGAAAATAACTGTACTAAGATTTTTCTGATTTTTTTGCCTTAAAAACAAACATTGTAGGAGAAATGTGGAAAAAATATACAAAACTGTATAATCAAGGGATCCAAGAACCAGATCTGAGGCTAGACATATGAGTCAACTTAACAGAATAGGGAGGTGAGAAAGGCCGAAGATCAGGTGATTTCCAAGCAGACTTTTCAGCATGGAAAGACATGGATGTCTGCATACAAAACCATAAAGACAGAGGCTCCTCCTCACATAACACAAAATCAGATCAAGCTGGATCATTGTCTTAAACACAGGAGCTAAAAGTATTAATTTTAAAAATTAATTAAAATATTTTTAATTTTTAATTAAAAGAGAAAACACAAGAGTCAGTCTTTGTGACACTGGGTTAAGCAATGATTCCTCACATATGACACAAAAAGTATAATTCATAAAGGAAAGTAGATGTATCATACCTCATCAAAATTTAAAAACTGTCCACTTAAAAGACATCATTAAAGAAGTGAAGACACAAAACAGGAAAATATCTATGCAAATTATGTATCTGAGAGGAAACCTGTATCTAGAATTTAAAAAGAATTCTTAAACTTAATAATAAAAAGGCAAAGAACTAATTATATTCACAGTGTAGTCATTAGGGAAACACCTCTTGAGATCACAGTGACACACCATGGTACACCCAGGAGCCACTATAACAAAACTGCTAAGAGTGAGAATCCAGAGAACCTGCATCCCTCATTCATCATGGGTGAGAATACAAAATGGTTCAGCCCTTGGGTAAAACTGTTTGACAGTTTTTAAAAAGTTGAACATAGAACTACATCAATTCTGCTCAAGAGAAACAAAATTATAAATCTACATATACACAAAAGTTTATGTTTACAGCCGCATTAATAAGCACCAAAGAGCAGAAGCAACCCAACTGACTACCGCCCTTTGATGACGAGGTAGACTAACTGTGGTATGGCTATACAATAATGCTATATGGTCATAGTAGGGAAGTGTTGTTCGTGCTACAGAATAAGACCCCTAAATACATTCTGAGATGCGGTAGAATCCTGACACAAAAGGCCTCATGTTGTACAATTCCATTCATATGAATTGTCAAAAATAGGGAAATTCATAACAGTTGTAGGCTACCCAGAAAGTAGATTAGTGAAGGTCAGGGCACTGGAGAGAGCAAGAACACTGGAGAAGCGGAGTCTTAGTTAGGGTTTCTATTGCTGTGAAGAGGCACCATGACCTCGGCGACTCTTACACAGAGAACATTCAATTGGGGTGGCTCACTTATAGTTTTGGAGATTCTGTCCATTATCATCACGGTAGGACATGGAGGTGATCAGGCAGACATGGCACTAGAGCTGTGGCCTGTATCTTATAGGCAACAGAAGTATACTGAGTCAGGGGGGCCAATTACATCGAAACTACCACAGATGCCTCTGTCTCTAGCATTTTTTTTTGGTTATATAAAAATACCCTAGAATTAGATAATGCTTAATTGTAAAGCAACTAAAATTCACGTGAATGTACATTTCAGATTGGATGGAATGTGAATGTCATCTTCAGAAAGTAAACAAAACAAGTTTTCTATTTCAAGCTTGAAATAAACGCTGCATCTTTCTAATGATCTTTTGGTCAACGAAGTGTGGACACCGTTAAGGAGGAAGTTATTCCAAGAAAGTTGTTGTTTAAAGGATTAAGATTGTGACTTTGCCCAAACTGTAGCATGTAACCATCTGAAAACTCATCTTTGGGGACACATTCTTGGGGACACGAACTCCAAAGTGCTCCCATATGGCCACCTACCAGGTTCCTCCATGTGCACGATAATCCAGTTGAAGGCCACCTCAGCTCCAGTGTTTCCAGTGAAGTACACAGCCTTCCGGCAGGCTTCCAAAGGAAAGCCCATCTCAGCCAGCTGCATCACGGAGGATTCGTCAATGTCTGAGGCTACAGAGCACAGCAGGATATCCCACCATGAAAAACAGATTTTTCCACTTCCTCCGGTCTTCATTACTCTTCAACGCCTTATCTAATCTACAGACTACCTGAAGACAGGTCCATTTTGTTGGGTCTTAATTTGACTTCTTTTTATGCCATCTAACTATTGAGCTATCCATGAGAGAAAAAATAGCATTATTACCCCAGTTTACAAATGAGGTAATTGAGGCCTACAGAGTAGGAAACAAATTGTTCCGGGCCACACAGTCCTAAGCAGCAAAGCCAAGGTTCCTCACAGGGCTGCAGGCTCTCAGGCCAACACTAACCCTACTGAGCCATAAGGGCCATTTAAGCAGCATTTCATTGGTCTGCATTTGGTGCTTACTCCACCCAGAACAACCACATATATCCAGGACAGAACAATTCTACTTTGCTGAACTACCACAGAAAAAAAATGACACACTAGGGGCTGAAGAGAAGCCTCAGAAGTTAAGAGCACTTACTGCTCTTCCAAAGGACCCAGGTTCTGTTCCTAGCACTCATATGGTGGCTCACAACCCCCTCTAACCCTAGTTCCAGGGAATCTGATACCCTCTCTGGCCTCTGTGGGCATCAGGCATTCACATGGTACACAGACATGCATGTAGGCAAGACACCCATATGTATAAAAAAAAAAGAACAAGTCTTTAAAACATATCATACTAGCAACAACTGTAAGACACCAAAAAAACATTATTAAAGATACCTACGGTCTATCAGCTGGTTCATCAGGCGATCTGGAAATGAAGGGACAGATGATAAATAAGAACTAGCCATGGTCAAGAGGTTTAGAAAAAAAGAAACCGTATCAGTCCAGGATATTCCCAGACCCTTTTCCCTCCTGGTTACCCTACATACACTACCTGGAAAACAGTTCATTATGGTCATGAGGGGAAACAGCAGGTTTGGGGCAAATAAAACAGGAAGTTTTGACATCTCAGTGAGATAAATAATTTCAATCCCTGCATTTTATTTCCAAGAACACTATTTGCAAATCAAGGTTTCTGGCCTGGACATTATTGATAGGGGCAGTATGAAAAGCCATCCTGGCTTCCCTGCTGCTCACCACTGCCTGTACATAAGCCCTTTCAGGAGCCTCGGTCACCAGGGCCCAAATCAATGGCTCACAGTATAAGTGTTTGAAGTGTACAGTTACAGCCATGCTTCATTCCTATGTGTCTAGGTCAATGACAGGGAGAGGCTTACTGGTGAAACAGTAACTACCCCTGTCTGGAAGAGGGTGGTAAGGAGAGAGTATCCTCCCGGTAGGAGATGGTACCTTTTGAGTCATCAGGAATGACTATGGGGGGACTGATGTCTGGAAGCTCTTCTTCTCCTGGCTGTAAGCCCCTGGCCCTGAGATGGCTGATATCTAGTAGGTCTGGCATATCAATAGAAACATCTGCAAAACAAAAGATTATATTCACTGGACTGTCCAGAGCCTGTCATCAGCTTATTATAAATCTGCATGTGTTTACTGCATGCATGTATCTAGGTAGCCTAAGGGACATGGAGTATAGCAGACTTGTCCAGCCACATGAGAGTTAATGGAGAGCTCAGGGAAAGGGCAGAGATAGTAGGACAGAGGCATCACACTGGACAGCAACAGGTCAGATAAGCCAGAGGTCACAGACTAGCAATCAGACTATCTATGGTCTGGACTCATTCCATTTTGCGTTAAAATATGGACATGATTTAATTTTAAAATTTAGACATCTGGATTTCAAAAACCATGAAGCTGTAGCACATTCTCCTGTGTTAATTGTCTGGGTTTCCCTCTAGCTTCTATTTTGGACAATGTGGCCTCTGTGACCATTTCACACTGACCCCGCTGCTCTGGACTGCCTCAAACATGCACATCATGCATATGGGAGAAGATGTCTTTCTGAGCTCTGTCATTACACACAGTGGAGCCCGCCATGAGAGCAGGCTGTGTATGCCCATCTTGAAAGCAGGTTGTATACCCTCGCAGTGAGAGTAGGCTGTGTACACCCGCAGTGAGAGTAGGCTGTGTATGCCCACAGTGAGAGCAGGCTGTGTACGCCAGCCGTAGAGTAGGCTGTGTACACCCACCCTTGAGAGTAGGCTGTGTATTCCTGCCGTAGAGTAGGATGTGTACGCCCTCTGTAGAGTAGGATGTGTGTGCCTCTACCCAACAGCTCTTCCTTCCTGCATTTTGCCTCCCTGCCATTGTTGCTCATTTGGGTTTGAAAACCCCTACTTCATATTTTTTTTTCAAATCGTGACAGATACTGTAAAGACTACAAGTTATACATTACAAAGATCAAAAGAACCTGACTGAATCTTAAGGGTCTACCCCTGGGTGCTCTCTGAGGAAAACCAAAACCCTCTTTGGCTCAGTTGCTACTGCATTTGACTTACTCAAATGCAAGATTTGTAAGTCGAAAAGCATCTGAAATTTAGTGCTACATCTATGCAAACAGGAGTAGGAGTGATTCAACTACAATTTCATGGTTATGTCCTTCAGGCCTGAAGAATAACTACCTCCAAATGATGTAAATCCTACTTAAGACAACACAGCAGGTGGGCATGGTAGCACATGCCTGTAAACACGGAACTTGGGAAGTAGAAGCAGAAGACCAGAAGTTCAAGGCTAGACTCATCTACACAGTAAATTCAAGGTCACCCTGGGATACAGGACATCATGCCTCAAAAGATAAACAAATGAGTATAAATAAAACAATAACCCAGGAACAAAAGTTAAGTTTGAAAAGTTAAACTTTAAGGACGAATAGAACTAAACACAAAGTCAGACTCACAGAATTGATACAACCGTTCCTCAAGAGAAAAGTCCAGGCCCCCCTTGAGACTCTTTAAACTCAGTCAATAAAATCTGATTTCATTTTTGTTCCTTCACAAAAATTCCAAGAACAACAACAAAAAGAAAGAAAACTGTCCAAAGCAATCCAAAATTTTCTATCTCAAATATCTAGTCTCTCCCCGAAGCCAGTAGAGAACAAGAGTGGTCAGTCCCCTACCCTCAGACCCACTCTGCTCCCTAAACTCTTCCAGCAAGAAAGTCAAGGGTCTCCTAGGCATCGGAAATGTCCCAACCCAAAGGAAAAGCAAACAGTCACTGAGTGCCCACTTGCATCTAGGCTCCCTAGAAAATCACCCTGGCTGGTTTTCCTCCTTTCTCCCTGCCCCTTGCACCAGTGTCTAGATGCCTCTTAAGACTTGCAATACTTCCTTGCACAAGTTCTCAAACACAAATCTGTAAGGTACTGGCAAATAGTCTGAAGTCCTTGCTTGAGAAACTATGCAGGACAAAATACATATTCTTCCACATCCTGGAGCCACCTAAGACTCATCAAATTAGACCCTGGTAGTGGAGGAAATGGCCTTTATGCCTTGTTTGGAAAATAAGCCCACACAATGACCAAGGGCCTTACATATGGGTGAGAAGAAAAGTCTGGTAAAGCCCAAACCACGTCCTTTCAACTGTGCAAAGCAACTGTTTCCATGTGACTGTCAGTAAAAGTTGTATACTCAAATGAATGTCAGTGGCACCTGCTATATCTCAGAGGTGGGGAAGGCTGCTGAGAAGAACCTGCACCCCCAGTGACCTTCTACTCCAATTGTGGTGTCTAGACTAGCAATGCCAACCCAAGGCTGTGAGTCCGGAGAAAAGTGGGGTGGGTTAGAAACCCAGTCTCTCAACCCACCCTGCATCTACCAATTAGCATCCCCATTTTCCAAAGGCGCCAAGTGACAAGTATGCACAGTAACATCCAGAATGTGCCACCATGAGGACCACACTTTCCCTCTTAGAGCATGGCCCTTCCAGAGCTCAGTAGCGAAGGGGTGGTTAGCATGTGGCATTTCTTATTGATGGTGTTCCTCATAGGCTGTGAGTCCCAAGAAAGGTAGAGAAACAATGGAATGGACACTTTGGGGGCAGATAACCCTCCACAGCCTCTTTCCCATGCCATGTCTTGTTAAGTGACTCACTCTATAGTTTAAGCAAAAGCATGCAAAGGATACCTACCAAATTTTCTGGGAACCCAGTCAAGACCAAAAGTGAACTTCTTTATCTGCACTACCAAGTATTCAGGGAATGAGGCAAAGCGAGATGTTCTGGGAAACACAAGGGGAGGAGATCAATCAAACAAGGCAGAAAGAAAGGTGAATGCAGTCCACAGCATGCAGGCAGCCTTGTGGGAGGCGCCTGGCAATGCCAAGGACTGCCCTGTGAAGAGGAACTGGACAACAGTCACGTACGCAGCTACTCGCAGACTCACTCCAGCCTCCTGGCCTCTCCACAAAAGAAAATGCTGGACGGAGGACACAGTGAGCATGGGGTGCATCAACCGCTTTGCTGCGTGCGACATTCTGGAAAGTGCCTTTCAACCATTTGCTTTCCCAGCATTCTTGCGGGGTTTCCATGTATGTCCTTGTAGGTGTTCTCAGTCACGCATGCACCGTGTCTGTGACGTTCCCCACGTGATGCAGAGAAGCCTTGCTTCACTAGAGCCGAGAATCGCTACAACCGAGCGGATGCAAGAGAGGCTTGGCAGAATTGGGTTTAGGCTGACCTCTTTAAATACCTGAATCTCTGGACGCAGGAGTCCTACAGATAACTCTGTTTCAGAGTAATAATTATCTAAACTATCCAAATCTAAGTCTTGCTTTTAAAAAGATTTTAGTTTATGAGTATGAGTGTTTGCTTGCATGTGTGCATACGACCACACTTGTGCCTGGTGTCTGCAGAAAACGGGATCATGTCCTCGAACTGGAGCTAAAGGTAGTTATGAGCCACCATGTGGGTCCTGGAAACCAAACCCTGGTCCTCTGCAAGAGAACCAAATGCTCTTAACTGCTGAAGCATCTCTTGAGCCCCTAAACCTTACATTTTAAAAGTAATGCATGTTAATTCTGAGTTTGCTTCGTACTGAAGGACCAGATGTCTGGGGCTTGGGTTTATCACTTCCATGCACAGACTGACTATTCAATGTGCACATCAGCTTCCTGCCTTTGTTCCGGCTCCTTCAGTCACCAATCGTCACCTTCCAGCATCCGCTTCTATTTGGCAGTCTACGTAAACAGAAAATGAGCCACATCATTTCTCAGCCTTTTGGCTAAAATCAAGTATAGAAACTGAGCCACGGCTGGTACAATGGGTCCATTTTAGAACAAAAGACTCTGAGCTGCCTCCTCCAATGCCCCCTTTTTGAGCTAGAGCCATTGCCTTCTACTTGGAATACATCTTTTTCCAGAATGCACAAAACAAATGTCAGTGTATTACTGCCCTCTACTGCAGAACAGTAGACATAGCACAGGGCTGACTGTGGGCGAAGAGTAGACAAGTGTAGCTTTGGGTCTTCAATGGGCTCCTTAATTCACTCCAAACCTGGGTAAATTTTCTGAGGCTTTTTCCGTATCTAGAAACGAACTTACTGGCGTATCTGCTACCAGGCCTGTGTAGTGCTCACACTAGTGAAAACCTTTTGACACAATAGACAGAATTGTACTACGGAACTGAAGTGAGTGCCATCAGCCCCAAGGTCTTGGACACTGAGTTGGTCCATCACTAGCCTGCATTTTCCCCTCAGATAAGTTACATAGCCTGCTGTGTCTCCAATTCTCCTTCACGAGGACGGTAGAAGGGAACAGGTCACAACACAAGGCAGCCATGAGAGACTGGCCTTGCCAAGGAATTGATCTAGGATTATCCTGGCTCTTGGAAGAAATTTATAGTCCCTCCAATCAGGTTATCTGGTTATCTGAGAAGTCTCAATAAATATCATTTTCACTTCCGTGAGGCTAAGAGTTCTGGTTTATCATGAACAAAATCCACCTGCTACTGTGGCATTTTCAATTAAGACACAAAAAAGTTATCTTTTAACTGTAGTATGGGGTAAAGGGGAAGAGGAGGGAGGAAGAGAGAAACATGCTCATGAATATAGACACAGCAAGAAAGTGTATGCCAAAGGCCAACACTGGTATCTTCCTCTCACTCTCCATTTTGTTTTTATGAGGTAGTCTCCACTGGCCCCCAGGAATCTGCCTGTATCCACTTCCCTAGTACTGTGTTTGCAGGATGCCCCCACCATGCTCAACTTTTTAAACAAGTACCATGGGACCAAATGCAGGCAGGCTCTCTCTCTCTCTCTCTCTCTCTCTCTCTCTCTCTCTCTCTCTCTCTCTCTCTCTCTCTCTCTCTCTCACACACACACACACACACACACACAGACAGGCTCTCTCTCTCACAGACAGGCTCTCTCTCTCTCAGGCAGGCTCCCTCTCTCACAGGCAGGCTCCCTCTCTCACACAGACAGGCTCTCTCTCTCTCTCTTTCTTTCTCTCTCTCTCTCTCTCTCTCACTCACACACACACACAGACAGGCTCTCTCTCTCACAGACAGGCTCTCTCTCTCTCCCTCTCTCACTCACACACACTCACCTACACCTACACACACACACACACACACACACACACACACACACACACAGGCAGCCTCTCACTCTCAAGCAGCAGATTCTTTACTGACTGAGCCAGTTAGTGTCCCTGTCCCAGACCTTTTCTTCTCACATTAACATAAAATCTGGGGCAAGCTCATTAAATCAATGATATACAAATTGTGACTCGGGAGTCATGACACTTGCAGACTAAACAGCTATATGAAAATTTGACTGGTGAAAACAGGGTACAGGTAATGGATCAGTTTGATGTTGGGACAAAGGATGGGAGAACCATTGAAGACATGACTCTGTTATGGGTAACTACCAACCTAAAATACAAGACAGCAGAGTAGACTGTTGCCACATTTCAAAGGCGAGTGTTTTCAAAACCCAGGTCTTAAACTCAATCTCACTTGCAATAACTGCTCCATATATGTCTGTTCAGGCTCATCTCAAGAGACATAGGACATCAAATTTACGGTTAGATCTAACAATGTCATAAACTGTGCTTTGTAAAAGAAGAATGAATAATATAAACAAATTATTTTTGCATTCTCCAGACATAGGATAATGTTCTTGCTCACTGTAAAGATTTTTCACTCATATTGGTTTAATTAAATGCTGATTGACCAGTAGCCAAGCAGGAAGTATAGGTGGGGCTACCAGACTAGAAGAATTCTGGGAAGAGGAAAGGTAGAGTTGGAGTTGCCAGCCAGGTGAAGAGGAAGCAAGATGAGAACGCCTTACTGAGAAAAGGTACCAACCCACATGACTACACATGGATAAGAATTATGGGTTAACTTAAGTTGTAATAGTTTGTAGGTAATAAGCCTAAGCAATAGGCCAAACAGTTCATAGTTGATATAAGCCTCTGTGTGTTTATTTGTGACTGAACAGCTACAAGATAGGGCGGGACAGAAAATTCCATCTATATACCCTTTTGCTACACTTAATTGCTAAACTTAATCGGTATAACTTTTCTTAGAAAGCTATTTCATTTTTAATAAAGACTATCAAAATATAAATCCAAAAATTCTGTATAGATACACAATTTACCTTTTTAAAAAGTTTTGATAATTAAATTAGTCAAGACACAGAAAATGCTCAGAATAGGTCTTGGCATTACTACTGGGTTAGCAATTATCTGATGCCTATTAGAATTATTTAAGGCATAAATTATTCACTTATTACAGCTAAGACTAAAATATTGTGAAGACATTTTACTAAGAAAAAAAATGAAAGCCACAATGACTAAAATCACCTGCTCCATCGTTTGAAAACCTAAGTAGAAAAGAGTACTGAAGAGTACTAGTCCCTTTCTACTACATGTGCCAAAAATATAACTAATCAACCACATGCAGACCATATGATCCAAGGCAAATGAACACACACACACACACACACACACACACACACGCACGCACGCACGCACGCACGCACGCACGCGCACACACACGCGCAAGACCACAAGAATGACAATACCGACACCACCCATCCTGCAGCTACTGACAGGTACCATACAAAGCACTTGCTCTGCTCAGCTCCCTTGGACACCCTCAGTTCTATAAATAAAATACTTCTGTTATCCCTGCTTTACAGATAGGCCAAGGTCACATGGCAGCTGACCTGGAGAGTCTGCTCTGGAGCCCACACTACGCTCATCTCTCCCAAGTGACAAAGAGGAAATGGAAATCCCTCCATAGCCACACTGATTCAAAGGCAGGAGTTGGGTCTTGTCCACTCTCTGCCTTGGGTGAATGGATTTTCCAAACAATAATAGTCTTCCTAGACTTGGTCAGTTAGGATCATTTACATCAGTGATTGGAAACCTTCCCAAGGCCTCCACCCTTTAATACAGTTCCTCATGTTGTAGTGACCCCCAACCATAAAATTATTTTGTTGTACTTCATAACTGCAATTTTGATATTGTTATGAATTGTAATATAAATATCTGTGTTTTCCGAGTCTTAGGCAACCCTTGTGAAAGGGTTGTTTGATTGCCCAAAGGGATCAAGACCCACAGGTTGAGAACCACTGATTTAAAGGATCATTTTATGTGGTTCATCTTGACCTTCAGACCCACCAAAATCAACCCACTCTCTTATGGTCAGTGTTTAGAGCCCAGGCAAAAGCATTCCACATAGACATTCCCAGATATCCAAGGACATATAACTACTACACACCAAAAGTTATTGATTCATAGCTGCCTAGAAGAATTAAAAAAAAAAGCATTCCCTGGTTTTATCTCATTGGCAGATAGAGAAGCAATAACCTAAACTAACCTTGCGCTAAAAGATGCTCAAACTTCTTGTTTTATTAACTTGAGATTTTAGCACAGAGATCTACTGCTTCCTCCTGTTTGCACCAAGAAGATAAAGTAATCAGCCCATTTGTTCATCCTCAGGGAAAAATAAACTTTCCTGGAGACTTGTACTGCCATAGAGTCCTGGAAAGTGCCAGGTCTTGTTTCTTGCGCAAATTAAACTTAGACCCTCTCCTTAACCTATAAACCTAAGCAATTGTGCTAGAAGTTTCTCCTAGCAGTTTAGTTTATTGCTCTGTGTGTAAATCTTACCTGCCTTGCTGACCCTGAGAAACTCATGTCTCACACTGTATTGCAAAAAGAATTACTTTTGCAAACAGGTACATATATCTGTAACCCCAAGAACTGGGGAGAGACAGAGATGAAGAAGAAAGGAAAATGAATAAAGGAACATGCAGAGAAGCAATTGTGTGGGGATCAATTCTTCTTTCCCTCAGATTTTAGTTCCTTCCCTCATTTGTGGCTCCTTTTTTTGAACTCTGAACAAACATTTTTAGAAGCTGGCCTTCTAAAGTTTTTGATAACCAGCCAGCAGTCCCTGCAACAAAACTTACCTAATGACTGACAGCTGATAACAAAATGAATGGCTACTAATCCTCATCTTAATGTGGACCTTCTGAAACTTGATAAAAATGGGGCTTCTGCTGGGATTTGTTTTATTTTGTTTCGTTACTTCGGTTTTTCTCTGAGGCATGTGGAGACTGGGTTTTGGAGTTGCTGTTGTTTTGGTTTTAGTTTGTTTTGTTTTTCCTATAGTGCTGGAAATCAAACTCAGGGCCTCACACACACCAAGCAGGCACTCTACCTCTGAGATGCACCTCTAACCCTTAGTGTTTGAAATAAGGCATTTCGTTTTCCTGTTTCTGGCATGTGAAGTCTGATACGAATCAGAGCATGATCCTGAGGGTTCTGCAGACAGCAACTGACGGCCAGCTATCCTGCCAATCAGGCTACTGAAAGAAAAAAGAAAGCAGGCTGCCACAGCCCTGCACTCTTCACTCTGTCAACTCAGACCTCAGTCTCACCCTTGAAGAGGAGGTCAAAGAACATGCCAAAGAAGTAAAATCCCAGACAAGCTTCCAGGAGCTAAGAACATAGCTGACTGACAGCGTGCTTGTTCCGCATCTATGAACTTCTGGGTTTAATATCTAGCACGGAGAGGGGGTGTAGAGAAGGAGAAAGCAGACTTCTCAAAAGGTAGAAGGAGAACTGAATGAACATAGCTTTCAGCAGCCATTTATTCTACATCTCTGTAAGAACTATTTTCCCAACTCAAGTGGCAATATGAATAGTGTCAGCGAGGACTGACTGTATCAAATCATTAAGTGGAGAAAAAAACTGCATGCACATGGCAGCCAGTTCACAAATATGAACACGAGGTAACTCCTGACCTGGTCGGAATCGGTTCACCATGCAGATGCCCATGCCTACCTGGCATGCCCAAGACTCTCCTGAGAGGCACACAATCAACCAAGACCTATGCTAAATCTTAACTGTAAAATTACAAGACAACGCAGTGGTATTTACATGTTGAAGGCTGCCATGAGTAGTTTTGTGATTTCAGTCATCATTCTTGCCATGTGGGAGTAAGGGTGCTTCTCAACCCTACTCTCATGGCAAGAGAAAAAAAAGAAAAAAAGGCAAATTTCAACTGCAGAATAAACCACAATTTTGCTTTGAATAAAAAAGGAGGTGGACACTCCCCCACCCAACACATAGCCCAAATCACAGGACTATCCTATTGGTCTGGCTCATGGAGTGAAGTGAATGGTAGCTATAGGTGTATATCACAATCTACCCCACCCTCACGAACAGCATTTGCTGACTCTCAGGACACCCAGCCCCCTCCCCTGTGTCAGCCCCCTCCCCATCTCAGTAGGTCCCTCTTTCCCCATTAACAGCCAGCCCTACTCACTTCACCCCTGCAGACTTTGCCTGCAGGGCACTGCTCCAGAAGTCCTCCACGTTGTCTGGTTCAGCAAAGGCCTGAAGGCAGGCACTGAATGGGATCTTGGCTCGCACCAGCTCGGGAAGGGGTCTTCGATTTGCTTCTGCTTCTCTTCTCATCAGTTCATAGGAGATCAGCTCATCTGAGGAAGGGCAGGGAAAGAACCTGCAGTCATGAGCCTCTCCCACGCAGGAGTCACACCCCCTTGGGTGGCATGTTTCCTTGTAGGTCAAGGTTACTGCCTGTCCGTCTGTCCATCCCTGAGAAGCCTGCCCAAAGACCATTCACAAGACGGACAGGCTGTGTGGAGTCAGAAACACTTTTTAATTCTATGTTTGCTTGTTTGGTTTTGTGAGGAAGGGTATCTCTGTGTAGCCCCGGGCTGTCTTGGAACTCACTCTATAGACCAGGCTGACCCCACCTGCCCCTGCCTCCCAAATGCTGGGATAAAGATGTGTGCCACCACTGCCCGGCCTTACTTGCATTTTTTTTATTCTTGTTTATTTTTGCTATTTCATTTTGAGACCAACAAGAGGGAATTGAGCCCAGATCAGATCATGCATGGGACGTTAATGACTTGGGGACCTGCTGTTCCATTTTCCCACCCTACAGTGACCCACGTGCAACTCTTCTACAGACTTCACACCAGAGAGTTCTGCAGCTGTCAGGGAGCCAAGGGCTCTCCTCTCCCCAGGCCCTTCATTTCCCTGATGAAGAAACTGAGTCCTAAGGTCAAAACTAATCACTAGCAAGCTTAAAGACCTGGTCAACAAACACAGATGAGGCCCCAAAGGGATGTAAAATCCATGCAAGGGGTCAGATTTTTCTAATGACTGGGGACTTGGGTGTGGGGGGGCTGTTGCCAACTTCAAATTGTCTGGAAAATAACATGGCCAAGGAAAAGAGATAAAATCAGGACTGTCAACTGAGCTCCAGACAATGGCCAGATTTGGTGTCACGTACTTTCTGATTTGGTTCCTGCAGCAACTGCGATTGTGGTCATGCGTTCCACAATGGCATGGGGGCAAGGGGAGTATGCGTGTAAGCCTGCCCTTATCCACCAGCACCGTGATGGAAATACAACCAACACTGATGAAACATCGTCCAATCAGTCCACTGCCTAGAACCCTCCCAGGGCAGGGTGTGCTGGTGACCCGTTAGGACCAGAGATCTGCTCCCATTTTGACACCAACTGCAGTTAAAATATCACAGGTACTTTGTCATTTCTGGTTGATTGTTTCACAATAGCAACAACAACAATTCCCTCCTGATAGATTGGCTTGTGCACATACACATTTCCTAAAACCCCTCCAGAAAGCTTTTAAAGCCCCCTTCTTTGTCCACAGCCAGTTTACAGCATAGCACTTCTATCTAACCTACACATGCTAAATGTTACTAGAAACCCAGAAACTAAATTATAAATGTCTTTTCCTTTCTTAAAGAGATCACCACTCATATAGTACAGGGAATCAGAGATCACAGGACTGTGAAAGCTATTAAAATCCAAAGGGATCCATTTATTACCAACTAACTAAGAAAAGCAAGTGTTAAAGGGGGTGGGGAGGGTCTTGTGTTTCTACCTGACAATAAGAACTCTCACAAGAGGATCTGAGCCACAGCCTGGCATGGATGATGCCTCTGCAGTGCCACCTGCCCAGCCTGAGTGCTGCTGCGCCTACTAACCCTTAGCCCCATTACTGTACAGCTCTCCTCGGTTTGCATTTAAAAAGGTTTCTCTGCCTCACCATCCCTGAACACACACACACACACACACACACACACACACACCTTCCTACAGAGCATGTGAATTCCCTTTGCATCGAGACTCTCAAATCAACATTAACTTTGCAGAACACTCTTTGTCACTGAGGATGACAGAACTGAGCAGATATTAAGTGTGAGGTGAGCCAGGAAAACCCATTGTTCCTCCTGATGGCTCAGTTGATTGGCAACTTGACAGACCCTCCCATCATCTAGGGTAAAGCCTCCAGGCACAGCTATCAGGGATTATCTGGATTATTAGCCCCTGACCATGCCTGTGAGGGACTCTTGGTTAGTTTCGTTGGAGTGGAAAGAGCCACACTAAAAATGAGTAGCCCCATCAGCATCCTGACTCCTAAGAAGAAGAAGAAAGCCGAACACAAGCAGTCACCTCCCTCTGCTTCCCAGCTGGAACATGACTTTCTTATCACATGGACTATTATCTTCTAATATCTTCTAATTTAGGCACAAAATAAACTCTCCTTTCCTCCCTCCCTCCCTCTCTTCCTTCCTCTCTCCCTGCCTCCCTCCCTCCCTTCTTCCTTCTCTTCCTCCCTCTCTTCCTCCTTCTCTCCCCTCCTCCTTCCCTGGCTTTTGTCAGACACTTAGTGGCAACATGAGGAAAAGTAACTAAGACAGCCCTTACTCTCAAAAGGCAGCAAAGCACACACTCCACAGCCTCCCATAGCTCAGACGATGTCGAGAATCTAAATGCAGTCTAAAGCTGTAAGCACGCATAGACAATGGAAATAATTTTATCTCAAATCATCACTTCCCAATATCCTAATAAATTAACTCCCCCAAAAAGTAGCAATAGGCACTTGGAGAAGAATTTTTACAAGAATGGCAAGTACCCCCAAAATGTGCAATCCACCAGCCATTTTGCCCTTTCCTTCTCTAAGACATGAACGGTAAGGAATAGCGTTCAACCATTCTGCCTGGGAAGAATCAGATCATACTGAGAACACTCTCAGGAGGCCTGCCTTAAAGACCAGGTAGAAAGTGTGGTTGCTTCCCAAGATTGCTGATTACAATTCTAATACCCAAGGATGCGTTTCCATCAAACTTTATACCACAACATATTACCAATGGCACGAGAGCACCCCGCCCACATCACCACAAGCAGCGCAACTGTGCCCACAGCAGCTAACCATGAGCCACATTTCTGGGTTCTAGAGTAGCCCCTGTCCATAGCTCCTCCACAAAGCCTGCCACGATAAATTCAGCCTCCTCCACAGACAGTTGCATGGGAACTTGGAAAAACATGAGAAGGGCTGTGAAACCCAACACATCATCCTAGTGAAACATCACGCCCCACCCCAGTGGCTGGGCACCTATCTCTGGTGCAGGTCTCCCCACAGGGAGACAATGTGGCTCTTTTCCCTTTTGGGATGTTACCTTTGTTGGTTGCTGCCTCCATGGCCACAGGTAACTGCATCAGATAATCCACCCTCTCTGTGTAGCGGACCTTTCGGGTCTGACAACACTGAATGCGCTCTTCCACCAAAAACCGGAAAACATCACTTGGGTTTTCTGAGCCAATTCGATTCCTCTGAAGGTCAGATAGCATCAGGTTAGCAGATGCAGGGGAATGAAATCATGAATAAGAAATAGCATGGTGTCAACTCTGATTCTGGCATCAAGATCTTGCTTTATGGAGCATGTTTTTCTGGACATCAGAGTCAAACAGACTAAGATACTGTGATTTATATAGTGTCCCAAAATGAGGGGTTGGGTAAATAAACTCAAGTTCACCTGTGAAGTAATATTACAAAGTCATTAAAACCATATAAGACAGATGGATGTGGGTGGAATTAGAAGAAGGAAGGAAAATAAGTTAGTAAAATAGAGAATCTTAATGTAAACTATATATAAGTAAACCATGCTACATTAGGATTCAGAAGGATATGGCAACATCCTTCCAACAGGCTAAGGGAAACCACTACTCACAACACAGAGAATTCGCGGGATTGGGAAATGACTGAAGGGGAGCTGCTACAATGTCAAAGGAGCAGTTGCTATTATGACAGCTCTGATTTCCTCCTCTGGGTTTCCTCCCTTTTCCATAAAGAACACTTTTGTAACCAAGGAGGAAAGGCTGCTGTTGTGTTTTGTTTGTTTTAAGCTGGATTCTTCGAGGCTTCCATGGGATTCAGCTCTGCTACACTGGAAGCAAGATCACTTGAGTGGTATCTGGGTATCAAGTACCTGGATGGGCTCTCATCGGGCTCTGCCCAGAGACCAAACACACCCATAGCACACACAGCACAGAAGCCATACAAAGCCAGCAGCATCTGGAACCCGAATGTAAGAGGCAACCACGTCAAGTGCACAAAGCCGAGACAGACACCAAGGGGCCCAGTGATGTAAGGAGAAGATGCATTTGATCAAGCCATCGCCAGGGGAGCTGGTGCATTTCTGACCAACCTTCAGGATGTTCTCAAGACTTACCTCTACCAGATTGACCAAGTGCAAGAAAAACTCCTGGGCATCTTGTTGTCTATTAGAGGAGAATTCTGGGTGGCTCTTGCTGACAAAGGCCTTGAACATGCGTGGAGAGATCCCATTCTGCTGAGGCTAGAGTATAAAGACAAAATTATCTTTTATAGGTGAAACCCTTCTACTATTATTCTGCTAAAGGTAAACAGTACTAAAATGACTCCTGGTGACATAATGCTATACCCATAGCTAAAGGCATCACTCAGCCCACACCAGAGAAGCTTCTTGCAGTAGATGGTAATTACCAGAGTCCCACAACTGGCCCATGGCAGAGAATGAGAAACTTTACAGAGCACCCAGTCCTAAACGGTAAGTCATTATCAGATTCTTCCTTTCAAGGCTCAAGGATCTATACAGAAGAGGAGGCAGGAAAATTGTGGGAGTCAGGAGTGATGTATGACTCCAAAGGAACAGCATCTTCCAGGCACAACAGGACTGATGAACATACAAACTCACAGGGACTGTGGTGGCATGCACAGGACCTGCACAAGTTCAAACCAGATAGAATCCCAGCACTGAGAGAGGAAGGTGGACACAGGACCCCACCTCTAACAAAGTCTGCAATGATACTTGCTGATAGAGAAAAATCAGTTTTCTTCTATGGAACATCACTGGATACATCAATAACACTCTTCGGCAGGCCAGGAGTAGTTGGCAAAGGGAAACAAAGTTCATGTTTTGTTTTGTTGGTGAGTTTTTAAGTGACTTCCTGTTTTGTTGTGCTTTGGAATTTTGTCTTACTGGTTTTTTTGTTTGTTTCTTTGACTTTTTTGTTTTGTTATTTTAGAGAAAGAAGAAAGAACATGAAGTTGGGTAGGTGGGAAGGATCAGAGAAGTGTTAGAGGAGGAGGAAGATTATGAACAAAATATATTGTATGAAATAAATATATAAATAAAAACACTAAATTAAAAAAGGAAGAATAAATCAGCAAATAGCCTGAATGACAAGTGGGTCTTGTCTAACTGCTTTTCCAAAAGATCTGAGTTCAGTTCCCAGCACTGGTTCCCAGGTTTCAGGCAGCTTCAGAGGAGCCTGTGTCGCTGGCCTCTGCACACACCTGCTCTCGCAAAGGTTGATCACTGATGCCTTTCAGTGCTCACAAGGCTTGTGGGAACGCATTATGCTTTCTCTCTACACATGGATGCAACTTTGATCTTTTTCTTTCTCCTTTTCTTTTTCAGTTTAGGTATATGTTCATGTGTACGCACATATGTGAGCACCCACATAGAGGTCAGAGGTCAATGTCAGCTGTCTTCCTCAGTCACCTCATCACCTTATTTTTTGAGGCAGGATTTTTCATCAAACCTGAAGTTCATGCACCAGCTAAGCTGCTAACCAATAAGGATCAAGGGTCACCCTGGCTCTGCGCCCCAGAACTGAGACTAGAAGTGAGTGCTGCCTCCTGGCTTATTTATGTGACTCCTGGTGGTTTGTTCCTCAAGCCCTCAATCCAAAGTTGTTCTCTGACCACTAAATGCACAGAAAGACACATGTGCCCATCTGCATGCACACGCACACACACACACATGCATACACATGAACATATACATATAAACTGGATTCTGCATACAACAGTTTCTAAAAAGCAAAAAAAATCCTAAAACCTAAAGAATTGAGCTAATGAAGTCACATTTTCCATTTGACAGTGGTCTAGTGACATCACCTAAGTGTTACTACAGCCCTAGCACACAAAATGAGGACAGAGGATACAACATGGCCTGCCATCTTTGTTGTAAGCTGTCTCTTGACCACACCCATTGTAAAAAGGTGACCCAGAGTCTCCAGAATAGCAACCATCCAGGGAGCCTGTGGTACGACTAAGGTACTGTACTTCTTTCTCCATCAACAAGAGAAAAACAGACCAGCTAGAATTAGAGAGAGGACTCCAGTGCCCAGCCTCTCCCAGATGCAGGAGGATCTAAAGTTGCATGGTCATCTTCAGCTAACGTCATGCTGTCACACGGCCAGTGTACACTCCAGGGTCCAGTGTTTCAATTAATCAGGAAGCCATGAGCTAGATGCAGCTTCGGGCATATCAGAGCAATGCCTGAAGACATTTCTGACCATAGACTCAGCTCAACCAGTCCCAACACACACATTTTCAAGACAGTTGCTGGTCAGTTTCAGCACTGTACAGTATTTGGAGGAAGAACTGTTAGAATGATCGCTCTGAGTAACTAATATGACAGGAACAATTCAGCGTGTGACATAACAGCAGCCCACACTAACATGAATGGCAAGTCCTGCTGGCAGCCTCATTCTCCAACAGCCATACTTCAAGCCCAACCGTGAAAGTGCTAACACTGAATCCTAGGCAGTCTTTCCTCCTCCCCCGCCTTATCCTCTGGGTTAAAACAACCAGATTGAAGTTGTAACACTGGGAATCTTTTTTTGTAGATGAAATGGTTAGTTAACCAAGACATTACTACAAACCTAGGGTTTCCCTCGATCGGTAGCAGATGATTGAACCTCAGGATGTGTACCTATCAGGAAAGAGCCCAGATACAAGGCAAGAGGCAGAGGCGAGAAGTGACAGCCCAGTCCATCACAGAGCTGGCAGGTCTTAGTTATAACAACTCAACATGGTGGAGGGAGGCAACCTTGAGAAAGGCTGTGTCTACAGTTCCATTTACTAGAAACATTACTGCCTTGTGCATATGTGCAATGAAATGTGGTGGGGTTTGTTTTATGTTTAAAAAAAAAGACAAGAATTACATTTGCCCACCAGGGGTAAATACAAATTAAAGAAAGCAACCTCCACGCTTACAGCTAAAATCCTGTCACCTCAGTGTGACAGGACGCTGGTTACCTCGGGTGATGCTAAAACCCACAATGGTGCCAAAATTATTTAATTTGGGAATCAAACTGTCCTGGACACAATTTCTCAGGATGTATACCTACTTCAAACGTGCTATTTGCATGGGGAAAATCCTGAAAGGTTTCCACCTTTAAATCGTTTGAAAGTACTTGTCCAGCTCAAACAAGGATCTGAGTGTGATACTCAGCATAAATAAACAAGTAAAATAAACAAATATCAAGAACAAATTCTTAAGGACATGGTAGAGCCCAAACCAAACACTCAGCAGTTAAAAGTGCTTAGTGATCTTCCCAGGTTCAGTTTCCAGCACCCATATTGGGCCATTCACAACCACCTAATTCCAGCTCCATGCAACCAAACACCCTCTTCTGGCCTCCACTGGTGAGAGACCCCAACTCAACATTTTTAGACCCCTAGCAACTAGCCCATCACAGAGTAACTTGTCCTTCTGCCCTCTCCTGAGAAAGAGGTGATAAGCTTAAAAGATAACACTCCCTGATCCAGGAACTAGCTCACCACATTCCTGCTCCATGTTTAACTGTACAAAGCCCAAAGAATGCTTGCTTGAGATAACCTATAACCTTCCTGCTATCATTTAACTTCTTCATCCTTTGTGATGTTTACCTAACTCCCCCATTCTTTATGGTTTTTCCCCTTTAAAGCCCCCTGACTGCAGCTACTGGGGGTCGAACTCCTCTGCCCCTGTGAGGGTTAAGAGCTTGGCCCCAGTGCACTGGTTCCCCCGAATAAACCTCGTGTGCTTGCATCAAGAACAGTCTCTCTTGAATTATTGGGGCGTCGGCTTATCCCGAGACTTGAGTGAGGGTCTCCCCACTCTGGGGGGGTCTTTCACTGGCATCTGCACACATATCTGTCTATCTCTGACTCTGTCTGTCTGTCTGTCTCTCTCTCTCTCTCTCTCACACACACACACACACACACACCCCTACAAAATCTTCTTTTAAAGAAATTAAAATACTGGGAGTGATTGTTGCTTTTTGTCAATGTGACATAAACTTAGACATATCTGAGAAGAGTAAAATATGGTTGAGAAAATGCCTCTATAAGAATGGCCCATAGGAAAGCCTGTAGACTAGGCATTTTCTCAATTAGTGATTAATAATGGGAGTACCAAGCCCATTTTGAGTGGTGCCACCCCTTGGCAGGTGGTCCTGGGGTGGAGCAGGTGGAGCAAACTATGAGCAAGCCAGTTAAGCATTGTTCCTCCATGGTCTCTGCATCAGCTCCTGCCTTCAGGTTCCTGCCCTGTTTAATTCCCTCTGTGACGGACTGTTACCTGGAAGTGTAAGACAAAATAAACCCTTTCCTCCCCAAGTTCCTATTGGTCATGGAGTTTTAACACATCAATAGAAAATGTAACTAAAACACTGGGAATCTTTTCTATAGATGAAATGGTTTATTAACCAAGACGTTACTAAAAATCTAGGATTCCCCTTGGTCTGTAGCAGATGATTTAACATCAGGATGTGTACCTATCATGAAAGAGCCAAGACACAAGACAAGAGGCAGAGGTGAAGTGAAAAGCCTAGTCTGTCATACAGCTCACAGGTAATGTACATACTGGAAATGTCCCACCCAAGCAAACGCTGTCAACAGCTGTCAACAGCAGCTGCACAGGCACCAGATGGCCTGGGTCAGTTTCCACGTCCACAGCATTCTTCCTTTGCAAGACCTTTCTGCAAGGATTTCTGCTTACACCCAGGAAGAGCCTGGCCCCCAGAAAGCATGATGTGATGTGAGCTGTTGGCAGAGAGTAATTCCCTGCACTGTCACTATAAGTAAATAAAGAGCTCTGCTGTGGGCTACTAGTCTATTTGAAAAACTGCTTAAAATCAACATGCCCAGGACCACAAAACAAAACATATGCTCAGTTCCTGTTCTATCCTAAATGTCACAGCAGTCACATTAGTGTTGAGCCAAAAACTACTCCCACCCCCAGCCCCAAGACAAGACCTTTTCTCTACCGCCAGGGAACACAGTGCTGCTACTTATGGCCAGGGTTTTATTCTTTTTAACTTTTTTTTTAGGCAAGGCTGTGGAATATTCCTTTATATTTTATGACTATATATTACTATATGAATATATGTGACTGGGTTAATAAAGAACTGACTAGGGGTGGTACTGGTTAGGTGGGACTTGCAGGCAAAAAACATCTCAAAGAAGGGGAGAGATCACAGATTCTCCAGACACAGAGATAAGGAAATGAACTTGCTGTACTAAGAAAATGTACCCAGCCACATGACAGAGTGTAGATAAGAAATACGGGTTAACTTAAAATGTAAAGTTATAGAGTAACAAGCCTGAGCTATTGGCCAAGCATTTATAATTAATAACAAGTGTCTGTGTGGTTATTTGGGAACTGGGTGGTGAGAAAGAGAAGTCCACCATTTAGGCTGGGTTGGCCTTGAGCTCACTATGACTGTTCAATTTATGATCGCTCTGCCTCCACCTCCTTTGTTGTAAGAACACGGTCCAGCAATGGAGTCATGTGAGAATTCTGAGAGCTTTCGAGAAAACCCCAAGAAAACATAACCTCATTTCCTCAAAACAAGGAATTGTTCTTGGAATGTGTTTTCCTGTTCCTCCCAGGTATAGCAAATAGGAGTGAGTTTACTTCAGATTATTCATTATTGCTTACTGTTGTTTTTTTTTTTCAATTAAATGTTTGAATGATCCTTTATATGCCTCTATGGAAAGACATGTTTTTGCCATGTGTGGTCTGTCTTTGTGATTGTATATAGTTTGAACTCATGAGCTTTACTCGTGATTTTCCTTAGTCCTCAGAGTATAAACTGTCTGATGCTCTGAATAAAGATATCTATTGCGTGAGACTTTAGTCTGCTCATTTATCAGCTCCATTCTCCCAGGTCGCACCTCCTCAAGAACAACGACACTTAGTGATGGGATTACAGCCCTGTACCACCACACCCAGTCTATGCAGGGCTTCATGCATGTTAGGCCAACACTCTACAAATTAAACACCCCAAACCCTTTAGGGTTCTTTCTTCTGGATCACTGGGTCCTAGTTCTACACTGTAGGGAAGTGTTTTCTAAGTCATCTAGACCATGGGTCACAAACCCAAATGACAGGAGCATTAAATAGGTCACAAGTCACAGGGATTGGAGTCAGCTGGGAATCATGTCTTTCCTTGTGCTGGAGGGCTGTCAATGGGCTCCAGCTGCCACTGAGAGGCTAGGAATTAGATATTATGCATGAACCATGAAAACATAGTCAGTCCAATGCAGCCCAAGTAAGGCCAGTCGTACCTCACCCAGACAGAGTAGGGGCTCCGACCTGCCTGGCTGGTGATAACAGCAACTGGACCAGCTGAAGGACAGATGGGGATACTGAAAGTGTTTTGACAGATCTGATGTGATGAACAGGGATGGATTATGGCACTCAGGAGAAAAGGAATACTGAGTGTTACAGCTCTGATGGAAAGGCATTCTGGCACTCAGGAGCCAAGGAATACCATAGGTCACAGTAAGCATAGCAGCTGACAGCCTTGCTTCAGGAAAGGCTTCCCTAGTGTATCAGCTCTGTTCCAGCAGAAGTTTCCCTGGTGAAGTTGTTACACTTCAGCTCCATTGCCCCCATCCCCTCCGAGAGTGAAACAACTTCAGCTCTCCAGAGCAAGGTTTACCCCAGTGAAAAGTGTTACAGTCCTGCTCTGCTCTGCTCTACCCAGGCTCATCTCTGCTCCAGCAAAAGAAGGTCTCACCCAAACTTCATTCAAGAGATTTATTGGGAGGGAAGAATCCAGGAGAGTGGCTGGCTTCTGTCAGGGTGGTATAGGGCGTGAAGATCTGCCTGCAGTTGCACAGCCCTGCCAGACCAGGTCCCTTGTCTCCAGCAGACAAGGTAAGGCCACCCCCACAGAGCTTCTCAAGGCCTTGCACAACATAAACAACATCCCAGAATAATGAGATCAAAACACAATTTTGTTTTTGTCAACCATCACTCCTTCAAAGTTTCATGGAAGCTAGAGAGAGAAAAAACCTGGTGATCCCATAACCCAAACACACTCCCCCCCCAGCACCCTCCCATCCCCCTACCTCATGTGTCCCCGGTGAGGATCCCCCATGTCCTGGTGGATTTGTAGCCATTATCTTGCAATGCTGGATTACAAGACAACCTGAGGTGTGCTCTCCTCTGTCTCACCCCTCTGGACTCTCCTGGGCTCTCTAGGCAGAAACATCTGTTCCCTCCCTACCCTCTTCCTGGCATACTTCCCCATCCCCATCCAGACACCTATGTGGATATACTCCCCCCCTTCACATCCCCCTTCTCTTGTTTGCCCGCTTCTGCCAGCAGCCGGCTCCATATGACCAAGTATGAACTCACTTTCCACTCCTGCTCTTAAATTACCACATCAGTTAAGTAAGGATAGTTGACCTAACTGGGGAGACAGAGGTCAAACACTTGAGACCCAGCATGGAACAGGCCTGAGCACTACAGTGTACAGGTGAACACGGGGTACTCTGAAGAGACAGCAGGGTGGAAAGTGGGTCTGAGTTTCACTCAGGACATTTGTGGCATCAGTGTGAGGCATGCTGACGCTGTCTACACAGACTGTGCACTGCCAAGGGCACCCACCATTCGGAAGAAGCAGGCTGGAAGCAGTGCCCTTGGGGCTATGTAACAGTGAAGCCTGGGAGGAGATAGCAACCCAGTATGCCCACAGAGATCCATTGAACGCGTCATTCACTTAGTCTACCTATTAGCACAGCAAGCACCCAACTGACTTTCCCTAGCTGAGCATGCTGGGAAACCATTCACTAACTTTCCACCAGCAAGAACTTAACAGAAACTCTTAATCCTGGGCTCTGAGGAGAAGGTGAAAAAACCATGTGCTGTGGTGTAACAGAAGAGAATTTGTAGCAAGGATTGTGGAAGCTGAAGCAGGAGGAGCAAGGGTTCAAATCTGTTGTAGCGATACTAATACTTTATCCCAGTTGAAACATTCTCTCAAGAGATCATACACTAAGGAAGTTCAGGAAACTTACAAGACTCAGGAAGGTTCGAGACTTACAAGACCCTCCTTAAGGTGCATAAGCAATGAACAATTCTGAGGGAAAGGAAACTCTTCAGCAGAGCTGTCTGCAAATGCTGCCTTCTGAGTCATTGTCCATTCTGGGGTGTACCACCTTTGAGGAAGCCACACTCCTGTCAGCCATCCCTCATCCGTGCTCCTCCAAGTACTCTCCAAGAAAGTCATTGGTTCCACCAAACCAGACTTAGGAAAACTGTTACTGTGGCCCTACCCTCAGTGAGTGCATTCTTTTCTTATCTCTGAAGAAAAAGTTATACAATGCTGGCCCACATAGGGAAACTCCATCTAAACGGAAGAAAGGGCAGCGGTGAGGGAGTGGGGAGGAAGAAATGGGAGGTGGGAGACAAGGGGACCTAGCAAGAACATCTGGAGCTTAAGACAAACACTGAGAGGCCCAGACTGGATAAGAGAGGGGCAGGTTTTATGCTTCATGCCTCCAATCCCAGCTCTGCCTTAAGAAAACCATAAGTGAGGGCACAAATCACCATGTGTGACCCGACTCAGTGGAACTGATGCTATTTCCTTCCTGTTGTTTTTAGGAACACAAGGACAAAGCACCCACTCACAGCTACCTTGACAGATCACTGAATTTACAGCAGCCTGTTGCCAACACAGGAACCCCACATTGCTGACCAAAGTCCCACCCATATTCATGTCAGCATGACACACAGGGACACCTACCTTGTTCTCCTCCTTCATCACCTGCTCAATGAGCTCGGATTTCATGGGAGGCTTCGAGTATTGGCCAGAGAGAAGGCCGTGCCCCAATTTAGTCCTAGCCGGGAGAGAGACAAACAATAAACAGGCCACTGCTGTTTCCCACAGAGATGTGAAGGTCACCCATGAGTCCTTGGAGGGGCTGCTCTCTATGCGGATTCCTCACAAACAGCTTGGTTTTTGCCTCTGCTTGATTCTGACTCCACTCTCAAAGTTTCCTCAGTACTTTACAACTTTATTAATCTCTTCTTATAAAGGCAACACACACACATTCTAGAACACTTAAAAATACAGAAAATAAAGAAGAAAAGGGAATTGCCTTCAACTCAGCAGTAACCAATGCGAACACCCCACCCGAAACTGAAAGCACAGTGTTGGGCACTTACATCTGAGTGTTGAAGTCCTGCGTTGGATCTAATGGCGAGTAGTCAAATATCCTAGGGAGGTTTCCTACATACCTAGGAGACAACAGGACAGTCACCACAGAAACAGGACAACAGAAGAAAGCTGTAGCTCTACAGACACCCTCCCGAGCTAAGGCTTTTGAGTTCCTCCCTCCACAGCATACTCATGAGCCATCCCCAAATCCATCGGCAGGTTTCACCCTCCCCAGAGGCTCTGTGAAACAGCACCCTTCAGATGTGCCTACCTCCTCACCTGAGACACAAGCCTAACATTTAGTATTCTCCCAAAAGCCCCCCATGCCATTCTGACACATCAGAAACCATGTCACCATAATCACCACTTCAAAAACAAATGGTACCCAGCAAATGGGGAGGTTAAAGCAAGAGGGCTGCAAGTTCAAGACCTACTTGTGCTCCACATTAAGACCCTGTTCTGCAAAAAACAGGTAAGGTGACTAACAGCCTTCTTCAGTCAACATGAAGGGCAGACCTCACACTCTATGCCTGGCTCAACTGTGGGCTTCCTATTCTGTCCTTCCTTAACTGAATCTATTATTTTTGGTTTTACCTGTGAATTTTGCTCTATTATACTATTGGAAGTTCCCATCCTCCATAATAGACCATTACAGCCTAACATCAACAATAACCTGATTATGGGATTTTGCCAGAAAGCCTATATCCTTATGTTTTCTCACAATGATGCTCCTTCCCCAAGTCTCCCCATGCTTGTTGGTTAGAAATCTCTACTTCTCCTTGTTGAAGTCATGGCTAAGTTCTTTATCGTGTTTCCTATGGCCCATCCTTTGTGTGTGTGTGTGTGTGTGTGTGTGTGTGTGTGTGTGTGTGTGTGTGTGTGTATGAGAAGTTTTATTAGAAAGGGAAGGGGTAAGGGAAAAAATAGGTAAAGAGACACAGAGAGGACAGAAGAGGGAGACAGGACAAATCCTATCTGCCCCAGGGGAACAGCAGGAAAGAGCCCACGGCCCATCTTATCCCATCTTAGCAGGTGTCTATGCAGCATTTTCCTTTACTGTTATGAATTGGGCCAGTAATTTCAAAATGAAGGTTATAGCAATGACAACTACCCTAACTACCTTTCTTGAGGTAATGCTCTCTTGAGAAAAGACTTCTGTGAGGCTGAGAAATTCTTCACTATATACTCATGACCAGGGGTTGATATTGTCATTATCACATGAAAGATAAAAGAACTTGAGGTGTAACTTCACTAGGTAGCATTTAAGTCACCCAGGAATGTAGGGAAAAACTTTAATGGCAGAGTCCTAAGTTTCCCCCTACACAGGAGTAGGCAATGGAGCCCAGAATACACACACACACACACACACACACACACACACACACACACACACACGCACGCACGCACGCACGCCTGACCCCAAAGCTGAGTTCTGAAACTCTGCAGGCTGTCTTGACCACTCACTCTCCCTGAAGACTACAATCCTGACAATGCAGCATTAGACTTAACCTTGACAGCTAATATTAACACCTAGTTGCTCCCCTACTCCCACAGTTCATTTCCTAGTCACCCTCTCTGCTTTTTGTTTTTGTTTTGTTGTGAATTATTTGAGAGAGGGTATCACTCTATAGACTAGGTTGGCCTCGGTCTTCATGAAACCTACCCTTGCCTACTTTCCTGGCCTCATTTGTAAGCTCTCTCCCCCATCCATGATGCTCTGAATTTTCACTGAGCTTACCCCTGCTTCAAGACCAGGTCATCTACTGTTTCTTTCCCAAATGCTTGACAACGCCTCCTGGAGTCTGTTGAAAGCCCCTTCCCAGACTGGGGAAAAGGAAGAATGGCAGTTCACCCTCCCAGCTTCCCGCTGACTGCTTAGCTTCTTAACCGCCATCACTAGCTGGAATTATACAGTTTACTTATATTCTTACTTATTATCTGTGACTCCAGATTTCATACTAAAATGCAACCCGTGTGAAGACAGAGACTTTCTGCCACCCTTTCCATCCCTCCCACTCATCTGTCACCTGTGTCTGTATCCCCTTCATGGGCTAGAACACTTTATAACTATGCTCTCATGCTCATATACTCATTTCTCTGTGTGTTCCCTCAGGCCTGATGTAAGACCCCTGAGTTTACTCTTGAAGCACATACACACACACACACACACACACACACACACACACACACACACACACACACACACCATAGCTCTTCTTTACTGGAAAGTAGAAAAGAACATGTGGATATTTGACAATATAGTTTCAAAGCCACAAAACAGCAATGAATGGTTAAGTACTTAAATTCTGAGAGGAGAGGGGAGATTATTCGACCTAATATACACTCAGTGAAGCACTATGTAACCACTGGGGCTTCAGTTCCTTGTGGGAAAATACCACCTTGTGCTGCTCCCAGCATGCTCTCTGCTAGTTAGTCTATCTCGACATGAATGTCCTCTTCGGTACTTAACCCACCATGGAAACCTACCCAACTCCAGAATCCTGAGCTGCAAGGCTCCTTGTCCTAAGCACAACCCAATGCAGAAAATGCCCACAAACACAGCAATTATGTTGAGAGGCACAGGGAAAGAGGCCACCTTGTACCTGCAGAATTAGGAAGCACCCTAATCGGTGTGCCCAGAGAGTCTGTCTGAAGAGCCAAATTTTCCAACTCAGATAGATGACAGCTATCATAAAAACAATTAATTGGATGTGTGAAATGCCACATATAAGATGTGATGATATCAAATCACTACAATAGTCTCTGGGAGTTTAATCAACGTCCACCCTTTCCTTACTACAGACTCACACCTAAGCCGCCCAGGCCACCATCTGGGAACCACACTCCCAGTAACAAAACAAAAAATAATAGCCTAAAATCCTCTACAAAATTCACCTCTGTAGGATATATACTGACTACATGGGTCACTAGCCCTCTACTGGCCCATCAACAGAAGGATCTGGCAGGTGTCCTATGACAAAGGATGGCTGACATATTGTCACAGAGAATATGGTCTAAGAGCCACGATGGCTGACTGTAAGATGCCGCACAGTCTCCGAGCACTCTTCATCCACCTCATCCTGCAATGCTGGATGGCTCAGGATGAGAAGCCACACTCCCACCTTGACACAATAGGACCCCTAAGGCAACAGCAATGGGTTTCCCATCACACAGAATGGACGAGGCCAGGAGACTGGAGGCACGGTGGGCCATCAGCAGTGGGGCACACTTACGCTCTCTGAAACTCTGGGATGCTGAAGATGGCCTGCATGACAGAACTGAGGTAGCAACTATTGCCCAGGTTCTTCAGGCCCGTGTACCCTGGTCCATACATCGGCTTCAGCTTAGTCCCCGATTCTTGGATCACTTCCCACTCGCTGACTCTTGGCTTGATGTCATTGTCCTGGAGCCCATTCTCTGTCTGAGACATCAGTAAGGAGAGAGAAGAGAAAAGGGCTTTAAATGAGATTCACAATCAAGACTTATGTCTATGAATTAATTCTAATGTAATGGTTATTTCTGCCATTTTCCTCTAATTACATGGGGAGAATGAATAATTATTTAAAAATATTAAGATACAATGATGATTACATAAGAATGTAAATGTACTTAATGTCACGAAACAGTAAACTTTAAATTAGCTAAAAATTATATATATATATATATATATATATATATATATATACACAATTTTTTAAAACATGAGGTTGGGGTTTTGTTTTTCAGGAAAGAAAAAGAAGAAGAAGAAGGAAAGAGACAGGAGGCATACAAAATACAAAAAAAAAAAGAGTCAACACAAAAAAGAGCATGAGTGAAGTCCTGGGTGCCATCCAGCACTGTGTGGAATATTATTTTAAGTGGTGCTATATTCATTTACACTGTGGAATATTTATTTAACGATGCAAAGTAGCTGCGTTCTTTTATGTTGCATTTGCCTAAACACCTGATTGGTCTAATAAAGAACTGAATGGCCAATAGCAAGGCAGGAGTAAGGACAGGTGGCCTGGCAGGGAGAGAATAAATAGGAGAAATCTGGGGAGAGAAGATGAAGGAGCAAGAAAAGGGGCCAGCCACCCAGCAACACAGCCAGACAGGGAATAAGAAGTAAGAAAAATACACAGAAGTAGAGAAAGACATAAAATCCAGAGGCAAAAGGTAGATAGGATAGTTTAAGTTAAGAAAAGCTGGCTAGAAATAAGCCAAGGCTCAGCTAAGGCTGAGCACTCACAAGAAAGAACAAGATTCCGTGTTTTTATTTATTTGGGATCTGGGTGGCAGACCCCCCCAAAGGAGCCAAAAAAGAGCAAATAAAATAACCAACTACACAGCACCACATAGCCTAGACATGGTGCACACTTGTAGTCCCAAAACTCGTGAGTGAGACAGGAAGATCCAAAATTCACGGTCATTTTCAGCCTCAAAGTGAGAGGCCAGTCTAGGTTACATGAGGCTCTCACAAAAACTAAAAGTAAGCAAACAAAACCTAGGTAGCAAGACAAGGGAACAACACAGGACCTTCAGCAAACTAAGGCAAGAAAGGGAGAGAGGAAGGTGAAACGGAACCACTGAGGCTTTGGAGCACCCGAGAGAGGAGGGAAATGAAAGGGTGTGCACAGACAGAGCACTGGCCTGGGAGGGAGAGAATACAGCCTCACACCGAAACAGACCTCCCAGGCTAAGCCACTCCATCATCAAGTTGAATGGCATCAAGTTGAAAAAAGCAATGAGGCAAAGCTCCATTATTCCACCACTACCCAACAGCCCTCGTTGCCCTTTTGCAAATTAACTAAAGTAATACAGGACACATATTATTTTAAAGGTCATCATCCTATATTTTCTCCCTCTAGTGATTAAAAAAAAGAGGGATTTATGCATCTACCCATCAAAGGAGACAAAATTTTTGCAAGTAAACCCCAAGTAAGCCAAAACTTGATGAGCACCAAAATTCTAAGCTGGTAACCCGAATACTAAATTCAACAAACTAACACAATGATTAAAGCAAAATCTACAAAGTTGCTCATTAGTAGAATTCTATATTAACTAAATTAAAGACCCCCCCACCCATCACAGACACAGCATAGAAATAGAGACAAAAGATTTCCTCACCCCATTCATATGAAGCATGTCGATCCCGAAGTGTGCTAAGTGTTTGGCCAAATGAGGATCCAAAACAGGTCCCTCTTCTTGAAAAGAATAAACATCTGGAGGGCGAAGAGAAAACAGCACTAAGGTCTGTCCATGATATCCATGCAACACTAAGTATATGCTGACTGAGCCTACAGCCGGGCTGGGTATACCAAAGATCAGAACACACAAAAAAAATAGACATAATAAATACACATATTTTATAAACACACAATTCTTTAGAAAGTCTCAAAGACTTAAGAAAAATATGGGTTTTCTAAAGCCAAGTGGGGGGAAATTGCTGAAGGTAAGATAACTTCAAAGAGATAACTATGAATATATAACCTTTGGGCTTTGTAACTAATACCCATGAAGGCATAATTCTAAGGTTGGGAAGCAGAGACAAAAGGGGTGGGTAGAGAGTGACAGCCATCTTCCCGGGCAGAATACCCATGGCATAGACGGGGTGCACAGACCCTGAGGTGCAGCTGAATGGTGTCACGTGGTCATATAGGCTTCCGTCTCTATCCTCGGGGTCTTGTGCCTCCCTTTCCCTTCGCCCTTCTCTCTTGCTGCAGTGTCTATGACTCACAGAACTAGTGAGAGATGATGTGAGACTGCAGACCCATGCAGCTTCCCAAGAGGCGTTCGTCCACCAGCCCACATCAGAACTGAGAGGCAGGCATGCTCACTCTGTGACTCACGCCAGAACTGAGGTGGGCAACATCCATCACCTACGACACCACTGAGAAGGTAGGGATGTGCCCACTCATAGCTTGTGGTCCAGGACTGAAGAGATACGCTTACTCTGAGCTCACACTGGACCTGGTGAAATGGACAAAGGCTTACCCTAAGGCCTCACACCTGTACTGAGGAGTCAAGTGACTGAAGTCTCAAATGTTATTCCCCTTTGGCACCCTGGCGCTGGAAGGCAGTGTCTGGCCTTGGATATTAATATTCATGGGATAGCATGATGTGTTGAGTAAAGCCCTATCAAATGTACAGAGCCTGGGGCTCCTTGGAAATGAAGGCTCTGGGCCCTGCCTCAGACTTAACCAACCAAGCTGTATTACTGTTACCAATAAGACCCCAGAGACACAAAGTTTCAGAAGCTCTGTAGAGCCCTATCTGTACTGAGAGAGCAATGCAAGCAGGGAGAAGGATGCCCATTTCCTGTGTCTCGTGGAGAGCCTAATAAAGGCTAAATAATTCGTGCTCACATGTGGACCCTAGTGTCTCACTCCTGTCCCATCTCCTGCCTTCTTTCTCAGTATATGCAAGCTATCTCAGGACAGGGACGACTACATGTCATCCAGGTACATCCTAGGAAGGGAGAATCCACACCACAGTCTCTTTCCTCCTAAATTTGGAAAATAAAATGCTATGAGGAGAGTAGATACAAAGACATTATTCTTTAGGACAGTCTCCTCGGTACTGCCTAAGCAGTTTTCTCCTCCTGGGGACACTGTGGAGAACTGAGAGGGAGAGATACTATGTAGATGCTGTGACGCTAGGGTGACCCTCTGACCACATCAAGCTAGGAGGAGACTCACTGCCAGCAATGGAAGTTCCCTTCCTGTCACAAGCAGATTGGTTGTTGCAGAGATTTCTCTCCTACAATTTTTATCCTGGGTAGCAGCCTTCAATGATGTCTGCTTTACCATCATTCAAGTCTTCTCAAAGCAAAACCAAAAGATGAAATGCCCCAACTCATTTAAGATGGTTTCCAGACACTAGGGGTCTATGGAGCCTAAGACACAATGGAAACAGCCTCTGTGTGAAAAGTAAAAGACTCACAACAGGAAAAGACTTTGTCACAGAGACAGAAGTGGAAAGAGGGTTCAAAACCCACAAAGGAAGTGAAAAGATTCTGGAGTAAAAACAAGTTTCCAAACGGCTTATATTTAAAATAAAATGCTTTCTGAGCTAAAAATTTGAAACAAATACATTAACATTTTTAATCAGTGAGTGAGAAGAAGTAGAAACATATGAAATACTTGCCAGAATGTGAAAATGGCAGTCCTGAGGTACTTCTATTCTACTCTCTTCAACTGGTGAGGCAGTTTTGAAACCTTAAGTCACAGCTCTATTAGAAAACAAACTCCTAGAATCACCCCCACCCCGTAGTGACAATGTCCCAATCCTGAAATAAGTGAAAATCACACTGCCTCCAATGGTTTTCTCACATTAAGAAAATACTATTTCCTAACCCAGGTGGCTAAATGTCCAAAGATAGCACATGGCTTGGTCAAATATGACAGCCATTTCTTATGCCAATAACAAAACAATTCAGGGAACTCAGAACCAGAAACTGAAAATGAACTTGATCCCCTGTGGTGATGAGAGTGACACACAATGTGCTCAGATGTGAGTGCTGCCGCCTGGGTTTCCACTGGAAACCTCACATTATCTCCCAATTCAGCTCAGCAACACTGCCTTGGAACTATCAAGAACCATTGTAGCATAGAAGTATTGCAGATCAGGATGCTCTGACACTCCTTGCCATGGCCCAAAACCTGAGCAGAAGCCGCAGTCCAGACAGTGCTGTGTTAGCTGAACTGGGTTCCAGTTCAATGATAAGGTAAGCCAAAGAGCCAGAGGGTTCAATCCACATGGGAAAAAAAAGAGAAGGTTAGAGTAGGAATGCCCCATGCATGTGAGAAGCATGTTATAAAATAGGTTCAAAAGACAGAGAAGGAGCAGGCTAGTAGCAGAAACGGCCACTGGGACTGAGTGAAGCAAGAAAGGGATCTGCAAGAAATAACCAAAACAATGATCTTGTGTCACATGAATAGAAAGATTTGTTTTACTTTTGCTCTCTATTTTTTCATATTAATTGTAATATTTTAATTGAAAAATATACACGAGACAGGAGGGGTCAGCTGAAAAATACACATGATACAGGAGGTGTCTGTCTCAAGGTTGGTAGCATGAGTGCCCAGCATGCATAAAGTCTTAGGCTTGTTTCCCAGCACTGCGGGAACCAGGCTAGCGACACATACCTGTAATCACAGCATTTGGGAGGAAGCCGTAGAAAAAAAGGCATCAGGAGTTCATCATCCTTAGCTACATAGGAAGTTTGAGGCCAGCTCACGTTACACGAGACCATGTTTTGTTTTTAAGTTTATTAAGTAATTCCCACAATTTAAAACAATTATCTTACATAGTATGTTCTTAGGATCTGTAGGCCTCTAGTCAAACTTGTTCAGTCACATTGATTAACTCATTCATTCATTATAGCCAGCAAACACAACTGAACACAAAATACACACATGTAAGAAGGCACACTGCTGGGTAAGATAAGCAGGGCCATTGCTCCTGTGAATTTAAAGTCTAGTATTTGAAACAGTCTTGGAAGTAATGCTAACCAGCAGTGAAGGACCATAGACACCATCTTAGAGAAGGTTCATTTGTGTGACCCACGCACTTACCATCAAGAAAAATCTCACGCTCTCAAAGGAACAATCACATAGTTCCACTGCTGGGCCCCCAACTTAAGAGAGAGAAACCCAGAGACCCTTTCAGCTATCAATGTGAACAACAAAGGCTGAGAAATTGCAGGCTGGTCCACAGAGCTGCCTGTGTCCCACAGGCCATTTACCATCCACAGAAAAGAGAAATGACAGACTGTGCCAGAAGTTGCACTAGAAAAATCAACACAAAATGAATGTACCCATGGCATATGGCCGTCCCCTGGGCAGGCAAAGCCTACACTGAAGTCAGGAAAGGAAGCCGGCTGAGACTAAGACATCAGTCAACACAAATAAGGAACGTCGTTCCTCTATGTGTTCACTGCATAAGTCCTTACAGAGCAACTGCTATGCCCAGGGAGCTATATAAGATGGCAGAGCTGGAGAACACAAAGATGGTGCCCAAGCTCCATTGTCCCCGACTACCGCACTTGCCTATCTGCCACAGGGTCCTGTAAAAGCTCCCCTGGGAAACAGCACGAGGTGCCTCCAGCACATCAGAAGAGGACAAGCCAGCTTAAAGCTAATATAAATAATCAAAGCCTTGGTTCCAACCTGCAGGCTGTGAGAAATGGGAGGGGTAAAAAAAGGCAGAGAGGGAAGGCAGGGCAAGGTAAGGAGCCATGTGGCTGGCACCCCCAGTGAGTGAACCGGTTCATAGCTGCCTTGGGCATCTGGACGGTCTGTGTGCAGGCATCTGGACGGTCTGTGTGCAGGCACCTGGACGGTCTGTGTGCAGGCATCTGGACGGTCTGTGTGCAGGCATCTGGACGGTCTGTGTGCAGGCATCTGGACGGTCTGTGTGCAGGCATCTGGACGGCCTGTGTGCAGGCATCTGGACGGCCTGTGTGCAGGCATCTGGACGGCCTGTGTGCAGGCATCTGGACGGTCTGTGTGCAGGCATCTGGACGGCCTGTGTGCAGGCACCTGGACGGTCTGTGTGCAGGCATCTGGACGGCCTGTGTGCAGGCATCTGGACGGTCTGTGTGCAGGCACCTGGACGGCCTGTGTGCAGGCATCTGGACGGTCTGTGTGCAGGCATCTGGACGGTCTGTGTGCAGGCATCTGGACGGTCTGTGTGCAGGCATCTGGACGGCCTGTGTGCAGGCATCTGGACGGCCTGTGTGCAGGCATCTGGACGGTCTGTGTGCAGGCATCTGGACGGCCTGTGTGCAGGCACCTGGACGGTCTGTGTGCAGGCATCTGGACGGCCTGTGTGCAGGCATCTGGACGGTCTGTGTGCAGGCACCTGGACGGTCTGTGTGCAGGCATCTGGACAGCCTGTGTGCAGGCATCTGGACGGCCTGTGTGCAGGCATCTGGACGGTCTGTGTGCAGGCATCTGGACGGCCTGTGTGCAGGCACCTGGACGGTCTGTGTGCAGGCATCTGGACGGCCTGTGTGCAGGCATCTGGACGGTCTGTGTGCAGGCACCTGGACGGTCTGTGTGCAGGCATCTGGACGGTCTGTGTGCAGGCATCTGGACGGTCTGTGTGCAGGCATCTGGACGGTCTGTGTGCAGGCATCTGGACGGCCTGTGTGCAGGCATCTGGACGGCCTGTGTGCAGGCATCTGGACGGTCTGTGTGCAGGCATCTGGACGGCCTGT